TGGGGGAATGCACTGTGATATTCACACTTGATATTGTTGTCCCAATCAGGAACTCGGAAGTTGAGTTTGTGCTCTTAGCTGGGTTTCTAAAGCTTATACCTGCTGAGTTGATCAGGGCTTATCCTCGAGCCATGCTAAATATCCATCCTTCTCTTCTTCCGGCTTTCGGAGGAAAAGGGTATTATGGGATGAAGGTGCATAAAGCGGTTATAAGCTCTGGCGCGAGGTATTCTTTAATCAGTTCATATGTTCATGAGATGCTTGCAGGAAATTTCCTGGTCTGTCTCTGAAATTCCAGTGTCCGTATAAAATAGATAGTAACAATGTCCTGATCCCTCAGTTTTATCCCCCATCTCCATTTGCCTATTAGGTACTCGGGGCCAACAATTCACTTTGTCGATGAGCACTATGACACTGGGCGTATCCTCGCACAGAGGGTCGTCCCAGTTCTGTCAACTGATAGTCCAGAAGACCTTGCTGCCAGAGTCCTGAAAGAGGTATGACACATACAATATCTCTTGACTCCATTAGATTCTTCATATGGATTCTAAAGCAGCCCTTTTCAATCGTTTCTATTGGGAACTAAGAGGGATCATCACGAATTGCGTACATCTTCGTGTTTGTGGGTGTTTTAGGAGCATAAGCTATACAAAGAAGTGGTAGCAGCGTTATGCGAGGAAAGGATTGCGTGGAGGGAAGATGGCGTTCCTTTCATTCAAAGTAGACAAGACCCCAACCTTTTCTGCTAACCTGGAAAACAAGATTTTACATTAATCTAGTTCATCAAACCCACATCTTCCATTTTACTTTTGGGCGCAAATCAATTCACTCGTCCTTTTACTTTTATGTTATTCAACCAAGATTCCTTGTTAGTATATTGTGCTCTTATACGGCCTGCCATGACCAAAATATCAGTGTTATTAAAGCTGAGCACCGGTAAAACCGCCACCCGATCACAAAACCGGCTCGGAACAATTTAAAAGTCGCTCCGGTTTTATGTAGCGGTTGGCGAGCTGCCGAGGCGGTTAACCGTTCGAGCTGATTGAGCCGCTCGTCCGGTTTTTGCCATTCAGCCACTAAATTTAATTTAAAAAATTATAGAAAATTGAAAATTGAGATAAACCAAAAATGTCGGGCTCTCAAATTGAATCCTTATTTCCATTTCACAATTTCGAAGGAAAGAGATGAGCTCTGATTAAGAAATGTCCACTATTTATACTGATAACGTTTATTAGATACCGGCTCTCTAACGGTTTTTAAACGGTCTAATGCCGGTTGGACCGCTAAAGCGCGAGCCGTTCGCATTACCGGGTCATGCTCCGATTCGGTTATGAAAACATTGCAAAATACAGTTAAAATGGGATTACAATTTACAAGAGCTCATTCAGGCTTACATGAAGTTGTGAGTTGTGCCTTGTCAAATGCAGCAACAATTTGGTTTTCAGAATGAGATGATGTAGATTACACAACCCTTCGGATAGCCAGATTGCCAACAGAGAAGCCTTTTTCATACTGATGTTGGAACCGGAGGACACTCTACTTGCTAAACACTGAGATAGGCATGGTAAAATCAATGTAAACTTGAATCCTGGTCTTCTTTAGTTTGGAGCTGAATTGTTGAAAGTTGATCATAGATTCCTTAGAGGGTTGTACAGGCATTTAACTTGATTTGATGATAGTTGATCATACAATCCAGCAAGCATAAATCACCATAACTAAGGTTGCAAGAGGGAAGCAGAAAAGAAAATACTTGAATTGCAGATTCCCATACTGTATTATAACAAGAGATTGCCCTAAATCCCAAACAGCAAACAGATGAATGTTCAGCCCCACCAAAACACACAGATATAGTGCACGTTTCTCAATTCATCTCTTCCTCACAAAAACAGAGTCATTCCAGCACCATTAATAACAAACACCAACACACTTCCTCATCCTGCTGGCTTGGAAGAGAAGCAATCCATTCTCACCACCCGCATTGACAAACCATAACAGGTTTCTTTATATCAGGTCAGCAACATTCATCGGCATTTCGTCAATCTGTGTGCTGTAGTATTGCTCTATATCTCTTAAAATCCTGATATCATCCGACTTCACGAAATTGATAGCCACACCCTGCGCAATTAACCCAATGCCATAGCGTCAGTCCACAATCGACTATGTAATCCCTTCCACTTGGGCTGAAAATGAGAACAAACGCAAAAAAAAAAAAAAAAAAAAAATCTTGTTGAAACAAACCACATACCTTGCGTCCAAAACGTCCAGACCGACCAATTCGATGAATGTAAAGCTCACGGTTGTTTGGCAGGTCATAATTAATCACAAGAGACACCTGTAGAGTTGGTCAAGATAACATCACTGAGAGAATGAAAAAGATAAGTTCATAACAATGGACCTCAGTGTCCCAACGCTGATGTTTATTAACAGACATTGGCAACATACTAAACAGTAGAAGCACAAAGGAAATTTGTCACGAGATTAAAATTGATACAAAAAAAAAAAAAAAAAAAAAAAAAGACATGAAGAAAGAAACTTGCCTGCTGAACATCTAATCCACGGGCCCAAACATCGGTCGTGATGAGAACACGTGTAGTACCATCCCTGAACTCTTTCATAATTGCATCTCTCTCTTTCTGAGGCATGTCACCATGCATAGATGAAACTGTGAAGTTGCTGGAGCGCATCTTTTCAGTCAACCAATCAACCTGTTACAGATACCTCAATCATTTTTACACGCACAAAGCGAACTAGATTCGTACCTATTTAAGCAATGAATTACACCACAAATGCCATCCTAATCTATAAACTACAGAGGGAAGGGAAATGCAACAAATCAAGTTTGTAAATGAAGTTTTGTAACCAAATCTGCTTCAACACCACCATTAAATTCCAAGTTTTCATCTATTCAGCAGTAACTTTATGGGCATTAATATAATATATATTATTAGAAACATATCAGGGGGAAACTCTACTTCAAACATCCGTACATAGTCATCTCCAAACTCATTGCAAACATAGAAAAAAAAAAAAAACAATCTCCACAGTAATGATAGGTCCAAAAAAACTTGAAGAAACATATTTGGGATGTCGTACTCAAGCACAAACCAATAGCCTTATAACTTGATTTCATGAGCAACTTACCTTCCGCTTTGTATTACAGAAAATAACAGCTTGAGTGATGGTAAGTGTATCATAAAGGTCACATAGAGTATCAAATTTCCACTCTTCCTTCTCCACGGCAACAAAGAACTGTTTGATACCCTGTCATAACAGAAATGTAAAAATTAAAAAAATAAATCATGATCTCAATTCAATCTCTGAGTTATCACTACTCTATAATGTCATTACATACCTCCAAAGTCAATTCATCACGTTTTACAAGTATCTTCACGGGATCAGTCATAAATTTGCCGGTCATCTCCAAAATTTCATTTGGCAGTGTGGCTGAGATCAGGCAAACCTAAGAATATTGGATAAAATATCTCAGAGAAGTAAGAAGAAAGAGAACGGGATACCACAATAACATATTGAAGCACAAACAGGGTATCCGGAAAGATACAGAATGGATATCTCAATAACGTAATAGTCATCCATAAACATAAATAGGAAAATTTGTGCAAATGGCATGGAGAAGGAACCTGAAGTTCTGGTGGAAGATATCTGTAAACATCATATATTTGATCCTTGAAACCTCTGCTCAACATCTCATCTGATTCATCAAGGACTAATAGTTTAATGGCTCTTGTGCGCAAAGTCCTTCTCTTGATCATGTCACATACTCTTCCTGGTGTTCCGGATACAACATGAACTCCATGCTCTAGCTTTCTAATATCTTCACCCACACTTTTGCCACCAATGCATGCATGTGCTTGAATGTTCAAGTATTGACCGATTGCTAGGATAACTTTCTCTGTTTGTGAAGCCAGCTCCCTTGTAGGAGACAATACCAATGCCTGCACCCTGCCAGATACAAGCGAACCAAGTCAGTTACGCAAAGGACCCTGGATATTCACATCAAACCAGAAACACGGAATTCGCAGCAGGCACTGTTGCTTGGAATGGAAAGAAATACTAAACAATGTTTCAGACAATGTCTCTCAGTATCTCCAGCGCACAGAAATTTGCTATTAATGAAGGAAAGTAGAATAAGTGTCTGCCTTCAGGGTAACAAATATGGACTCTCCTATCCTGAACGAAATTTGGACTCGCCCAGCATCAATGAACCCTCTCCTGCATGCTTTTTCTTCACCAGAAATCCTAAGATACAATTCATAAACCGCCCCTAACCCTACAATTAGCTCAGCACAAGCTAATTAGGAATCTCTTCTTAAAAGTGTTTAGCTCGTCAATCTTTAAGTCTCTGAAGCGTCAGTTCCAAGTCGCAAGAAAATCAACACAGAACAAGCAAAGCATTCAAGTTCTCTTAAAAAACAAGGGCAGTCCATGAAAAACAAATCTTTCAAGAAACGGAAGCAGACATAGAAATTAGGGTTTGCAAGTGGAAGGAGCTTACTCTTTGCTGTTGATATCAACGACCTGGCAAACAGTGAGGGCGATCATGGAGGTTTTCCCGGTACCGGATTGTGCCTGGGCAATGACGTCGCGGCCTTTAATTATCGGCATAACGGCTCGCTGCTGAATGGCGGAGGGCTTCTCGAACCCGTACTCGTAGATTCCACGGAGCAGGCTGTCATTAATTCCCATGTTTTCGAAGCTGGCAACCGGTTCGATCCCCTCCGTCGTCTCGAAGACGAGCCTGTCATCGTCGGTAGTCGCCCTACGGGCTCCCCGCCCCGGTGGAACTACGCTCGCCGCCATGGATGTTTTGGTGGGAAAAAAAGTTTTCTTCGTTAGCTGTCTTTGGGAGGAAACCTCTGTTTTACGATCTCAGCCGAGCTTCGCAAATTTTATAGAGGGAAAGCTCCCACTTGGGCTTTGGCTTAGATATGGGCCGCTTAAAACCGAAGAAAGCAGGTAGATGTTCGAGGTCCAAACTCCTAATCCCATTCGTTAACTTATTTCAATTGGGCCGAGGGGCCCCATTGCTTGTTGACAACGTGGCAGCCTCCAGTAGCCTTGGATCATTCTGATGGCTGGATGATGTGGTAACATTTCCATCTGTAGGCTTGTGTCGAAACTTTTTTTTTTTTTTCAAAAGATATCATGTATTTATCAAAACCATAGACAGTTACACCCTGGAATCCAGCCAGGTTTAGAAATCAAAGAAGCGACTCATAGTCGGATACAAAGAGAGGGCTTTCCTAGCTACCAAATGAGCTACCCTATTGTTATCTCGACCTACAAAACGCACACTAAAACCAGGCTGAGTACGAAAATAATGAACAATCTCTTCCAAAATAGCACCCAACCGGCTATCTCTTGTGTCGGCTTGATTAATTTTGTCAATAATCACCTTCGCATCGCCCTCAAATCGGACCGCCGACAAGCCTTGCTCTACACACCAAATAATAGCTTCCCTAAACACAAGCATTTCCACCACGACAGGATCATCCATTTGAGAGGAAACTGGATCCCTCTAGCCAGAAGGAGTGTCCGGGCTGGGTCAAAAAGAACCATCCCACCAGCCGAATGAGACCCACCCTTAGTAGCCCCGTCCCACATGTAAACCAACTGGGAATCACCCACTTGAGCAGTGGACTGCACTATTGGGATTTGTACCCTAGGCGCCTGGTCCGCTGGAAGACCCACCCATTCCTCATACTGTTGGTAAAACTGTCGCATGAGCGCCGGGATCCCAAAGAATTGCAACAACAGCCATAATCACTGACGGTTGATGGATCAAACCCAACAGACGCTTGAGAAACAAAGGAAAGGTGTGCCGAGGAAAACCCTCCCCGAAGTACTCCAGCCCAGAATAATCCCAGAGAGCCCGCGCAACCGGACAATAAAGGAACAGATGTTCCATCGTCTCCGGGCCTTCCCAACAGATTGAGCACCGAGGACGCACCTGGACCTTTTTCTCAATAAGCGCCTCCATAGTCGGCAGAGCCCGATTAAGAATTTTTCAAAGGAAAACCTTCAACTTCGGAGGGATCTTCGCCTCCCAAATTCTAACCCAACTCGGCTTATCCATCCAGCTAACCGAGGATCGCCACCCACCCCTCCTTCTGTGCAAATCGACAGCCAGATGATAAGACGACTTAAACGAGAAGACCCCTTCAGCCGTAAAATGCCATATAAGCTTATCCGGCACATCCCAACGCGGAAGAGGGATAGCTTTGATAGCCTTACAGGTGGGCGGGTCAAACCATTGACTGAGCTTCTCATCAGACCACCTCCCTCCCCCCTCACTAATTAATTCTGCCACCAAAGGATCACCCCCCTCTGGCAAGATTCGCGGATTATAGCCTGGGGGATCTAGTTGGCACCTAGGAATCCAGTTAGAATGCAGGAGAGAGACCGATTGTCCATTACCAACCTGCCATCTCAAACCCCTCTCCAATAACTGACGCCCATGAAGGATGCTTTGCCACACCCAAGAGGGACGAGACCTAGCCGTCGCGGTCAGGAAAGATCTTTGAGGGAAATACTTGCCTTTATAGACCTGAGCAATAAGTGATTGAGGTTCATTGAGAATACGCCAGCCTATCTTAGCCAAAAGAGCTTGATTGAAATGCTTGAACTGGCGGAATCCCATCCCCCCATCATGCTTACTCCTGCACATACTACTCCAGGACACCCATCTAATCTTGGGATTACCGTCCTCAGCACCCCACCAAAAACCGGCCACATGCTTATCTAAAAGACGACAAAGAGCCAGGGGAAGACGGAAACATGACATGACATGAAGGGGAAGAGTCAATGCTATGGATTTAATCAAAGTTTCCTAAGCAGCCAACGACAATGTCCTTTGCTTCCACCCCTGAAGCCGCTCTAGGAGTTTTTCCTCCAAATATCTGAAAGTAGCCGTTTTGGATCGAGCAATCAGCGTTGGAAGCCCCAGATATTTATCATGGACCCCCACTACACCAACCCCCAGAATCGTGGCTAAGAATTCCTGATCAGGCGTGGAAATATTCTTGCTAAAGCACACTGCCGACTTCTCCAAATTAACGCGCTGACCACTCAGTTCCTCATATTCATTTAACAACTCAATTAAATTCTTGCACTCCTGTAGAGAACCACGCAAAAATAAATAAGAATCATCCGCGAAGAACAGATGCGAGATTCTTGGAGCACGAGGTGCTACTTTCACCCCCTCTAACTTTTTCTCCGTGATCGCCTTTCGGAGGAGGGCTGCAAACCCCTCCGTGCAGAGCACAAACAAGAGAGGAGAGAGTGGATCCCCCTGTCGAAGGCCCCTAGAGGCAGTGAAATATCCCGAGGGTGTACCATTCATTAGAACCGAGAAAGAGGAGGATCGAAGACATTCATGAATCCATCCTCGCCAGACAGAACTAAAACCCATCTTCTCCAAAACTGCTAGCAGGAAGGGCCATTCAACTCTATCATAGGCCTTTTCCATGTCAACCTTCAGAGCCATGTACCCCTTCTTCCCTTGCCTTTTTATTTTCAGATAGTGCATTAGTTCATGTCCAATAAGGATGTTATCAATAATCTGCCGATCCCTGATAAAACCATTTTGTCCTTCCGAAACGATCTGAGGGAGCATGGTAGCCAGCCGCTCAGCCATTATTTTGGTAATCACTTTGTAAACAAACTGGCAAAGACTAATCGGCCGCAATTGTCTAATTGTTTCCATCGAGTCCACTTTAGGGATCAACGTGAGCCAGGTATGATTAAAACTCTGCAGCATCCGACTCGAGTTAAAGAAGGAAACTACTGCCTCAACCACTGAAATGCCCACAATATCCCAGAAAGCTTTAAAGAACTTACCAGTGAAGCCATCCGATCCCGGGGCCTGCTTCGAACCCATGGAAAAAACCGTACTCCGGACCTCACCAGGCAAAACCTCCGCCGTCAACTGAGCATTCATTTGCGGAGTAACACTATGGGAAATCGGCAGAGTCGCCACCCTCTCAGCCATATTAGGAACCTGTGTTTCCGAGGTAAACAAGGTCTACTAAAAATTGGTGACAATAGAAGCCTTTCCGGTTTCCGCAGTGACCCATTCACCCTCCTCATTAAGAAGCCCAGAAACGAAATTCCTCTTCCGCCGAGCCCTTGTGATCGTATGGAAGTAGGCAGAATTTTGATCTCCTTTTTTTAACCATTTAACCCTGGATTTTTGCTGCCAGAATACTTCCTCCGCATCCCACTACAGGGAGAGCTCCGTTTCCAGGGTTCTGATCGCATCCCAATCCACCGGATGAATCGATTTTATCCTATCAATCTCCGCTTGGAGCGTCTTGATATTACGCAGGGAGTTAGTAGTGCCCGCCCTACTCCAATCATATAGCAGATGACGGAGTTTTTTTAGGCGTTCCCAAAGTCGAAACACAGGGGTGCCTTGGACCTCCTCCTGCCAGACATAGTTGACCATGGCCCTCACCTCCGGATTATCCTCCCAACAGGCATCAAAACGTAAAAGAGGCCGACTAGTACCAACATATGGTTTATCAGCAAGGAGAAGGGCACGATGGTCCGATCCCTGATCCGTGAAATGTTTGACTAGAGTCTCCGGGTAAGTATCCATCCAAGATTGAGAGCAAATTGCTCTATCCAGACGTGCACGAATGCAAGCATTGCCCATGCGCTTATTTGTCCAAGTGAATTGATCTCCTTGATAAGCAGGGTCATGGAGATCCAAATCATGAACAAATTCGCGGAGACTAAAGGCTTGGGCCGCATTCCACTCCCGCCCCCCATCTTTTTCACTCTCGTGCAGAGTAGCATTGAAATCGCCTATGATCACATAAGGGTGATTGATATTCGCACAAACATTATGCAAATGAGCCAATTGGGTAGCTCGAACAACAATATTACAACTAATATAAACAAAAATCGCAACATAAGAAAAATCTCCTTCATTAATTTGCGAACAAATATAGAAATTTGAATGACAAAGCACCGAAGTGTCAACCCCAGGGGCCCAAGTGACTACTAAACCTCCCGATGCATCGACTGCATCAACAAAAAAACAAGGCGAAAGCGGAAAACCTAAACCCCGCATACGACAGGACACTACACGCCGGCTCGATCGCGTTTCCGAAAAAATACGAGATTTGGTTTATTAGAATGAAACAACCCTACAGCAGTTTGGAATGTGAGGGATGGCCCAATTCCTCTCACATTCCAGGCCAGAAGCCTCATTTATCGACTGGGGGCCACTCGAGGCTGGCTTCCTCCACCTTCTCCAGAACATCAGTTGTTTCCACAAATTGTTTCTTCGGGGTAGGAGGATCACCCACCTCCCCATCCAATTCATCAATCACACGCTGCCGGGTCTCCACAGATGGGTCCATGAGATTAGACCCATATTCATTGAGCGTCGAGCGAGGCCCCTTGATAGGTATATCCTCCTCTTGAGCAAAGACAAACCCAGTTTCAAAAGCCTCAACCACTTGGTGGACTCGCCCAGTCAAGATTCTGCGAGTCTCCATGGAAACCCCACCTGGTGATCTTCTCTTAATCTCAAACGGGAGCTGATCGTCATTCGATTGATCATCATCCGAATCCATGGTCTGCTGCTGACCCTCATAATCCCGAGGGACTTCAACCTCCTCATCCTCCAACTCCCGCGGATCACCATACTGAGTCGCTCCCCCATCCTTCTTCGACTTAGCCCGAGTGCAATCTGCCCCTCCCTTTTTCAGTCGTGGGCGAGCCCAATGCACCGTACTCCCAGTATGAGAAGTACCCTTTGGGAGAACTCGAGGAATCTCCAGGGGCTGCCTAGAATGTGCGCCTTTCACACTAGCCTTCTCCTCCTCTTCTGATTCCTCTTGCAAGATCAGCCTTCTCCTCCGAGATTGTTCAAGAACAACCTCAACCTGGTCCTCCGTCTGCTGGCGATTGGCCACCTTTCTAGCCCGTCTTCCCACCTGTTGACGACCCTTAGAGCCCTTCCGGGGTAAAGGTGCAGTCTCTCTGGGCGACGCTTTTTTTTGGTGCGGGCGAACCCCACCACCAATCTTCACTCGAGGTGAGGCCTTGAAGACAACCCGTTTAGGGCTAGCACGATTCCCTAAAAGCTTAGGCCTGGACTCCTGCACCCGCGGTTGCGGCTCCATATAGCCATGGTTCTCCTGCTGACGAGCAGTCTGATCAATAGAGCGATCAATAGGCACTGGTCGTAGCACACGAGGTCTAGCATTCTTTGCATTCCCATCATTCTGCACTTGAACATTCCTGTTAACCTACACCGATTTACTGGTATTGCAAAATTTTGGGAACTCCTCCTCATCCATATAGATCTTCCTTCCTAGCTTCCTTGTAGACATATGCGTGCCGAAGCGTTCTTTACCAGGTGGAGGAGCAAAAACACATTTTGGCTTTGAGTGCCCCCACTCTGCCACAGAGGTAGCAGAAAGTCGGCAGAAATTCATATTTGAAGTTAACCCAGAAGCTACCCAGCTCTTCACTAACCGCCATAAGCTGGGACCGCAACGGTTTAGTGAAATTGATGAGGACGTGCACTTTAACAAAGCACTCTTCTGTTTCTCTGGATGCAAAAACATCAGCCTCCAAGACTTGGCCGATTGTTCCCGCTGCAATTTTCCTACCGAACTGTTTGGGGCAGCAATCCTCTTTCACATTCCATCATATTTGAACACAGAAGGGAGCAGTGGCCAGATCATCGAAAACTGGCCTTGTGATAGCTGCAGTCTAAGACCGGAGATGTAAAATTCTGTCTTTCACAATCCAAGGAGTACGTTTGAGGATCCAAACCCTCGTCTCATCACTAGGCAGAACAATTTCAAATAGGCATATTTAGTGACCGAAACCCTAAGGTTTCCTTGCACCCGCCAGGCCTCGATCAAGCCCTCACGCAACTCACTAGGAGTAAATTTGGTCTCCGAGAATAATCTTCCCAACAGCGTTCGTGATGTTCGAAGCTTCACCGATTGGACCTCTTCGAGTGAGAACTCCACTACTTGATCCTCTGCAATACGAGCCATCGTGGGCACCTGACACAAATGAGAACACGACGAATTAGAATCAACTGATTCGACCGAAGTAAAATCAGTAAATTTAAACAGCATCAGCCGGGTTATCGGTCTGGCCACCCTAGGCCCAGTATCCCCAAAATCGACCGCCCCCAGGTTTCTGCTACCAGCCAGAGCTGTCGAGGACAAGAGGGTTGAATCTTCAGCCTTGGCCAGCTGCGGTAAACAAGCCAAAAGGCCAGGCCTGCTGGTCGAGGGATTGATGGTCGAAGGGCTAAAGCCAGGCTTTTTGATTGCAGCGAGCTGCCGAGCTGAGGGTAGTTCTCTAGGCCCAGGGGCATACATCCCAACGCCACCACCGGAGGCAGCAAACTGCCCGGCCAAGAAAAGCTGTCTGCCGCACCGAAAGAGAGGTTTGGACTCGTAGAGAAGCAAGGGGAAGACAGAGGATAATCCCCCGTACCTGCTTGATTCGCGTGGAAAGAAAGGCCTCCAAGTTTGCTAGCTTCGCTGGAAATCTCCCTGCTCCGATCACAATATACTGGATATGGAGCAAGGGCAGCAGTAGTTTTATAGAGGCCTGAGTCCCTCTTCTCCACGAAAAGGGAATATCCCATAGATCTGTTGGCAATTAGAGTTGTAATTGGATTAGGAGATCTCTGCTGGGGCGAAGAAATCCTTCCCCCTACTCAGAGTCGGCTCCCAAGAATCCCGCTCAACCGCCCTGGAAATCCGCCCAATAATCCCTCCGAAATCGTCGCGACAAAACACGTCGTTACAAACTTCCAGCGAGAATCTCCCCCGACCGGCCGGACTCGCCTATCCACTCCGATGGCAATAGGCTTCGGCTTCAGGGGCTTGGAGTCATCTCTATCCCCACCTGTCTTCACGCCACCGATCTCCTCACCGAGGGGTACCTTCAACTTAACACAATTCACCCAGTCATCCAAACTTCTAGCGCCTTCAATGGCGGCAGGGGAAAAGTCCCAACCCCTAAGGGTGACGATTTACCTATTCGATTACTTCGAAAAGGGATCCTATTTGGTGCCTGAGAAGGCTGAACCCTGCACCCCGCGAACAGGGGAAGAGCAACCTCATCTTCATCTAACTCCGATGAGTGCGGGAGACTGAATCTCCAGAACTTCTGAGGCCTGCATCGGCCTCGCTTGACTGGTCGTTCTTCGCTAGATTTAATTTCACCAAAAGCCATATGGATCGATCTCTTATTGAGGCGGAGCCGTTTCGCTCGACGCCAACCAATTGCATCCAGTTCGCCCTTTGAGAAGGGGACTGACGATTTAGGGTTTTTTCTCCATTTCCTGCGCTTGATGGGGTCTTCGCCAAACCTGGTAGTCCGACAGCATCTCCCTCCTAAGGCAAACAACCCCGACGATCCGTCCGACGAACAATACCCCTGATTTTGCAGACTGGCCACAACAAATCGCGAAATCCACCGTCCTAGGAGTAGAGGCGAAAAGGAGGAGAGAGGGCAGAGCTCCTCTCATGAGTTTTTTTTTAGTTATACAGCGCTGCGGGTTGTGTCAAAACAGAAAACTCAAAACAACACAATAAAATAATTGCATAATGCAAGGGATAGGATTTATGCCCCGGAGGAGAATTACCGAATTAGACCTATTTTTGGTAACAATGTTTTTTTAGTCATATATAGTCATATAGAAGTTTTCATATGAATAGTAACAGAGTATCACACAACCAAATTCGGTTCGTAAAATAGTTGAATTGTCAATAAGAGAAAAATTTTTAGATATTAAATGGATAGTCCTATTGTATCTATAATGAATAAAAGAAAAAGCATGCACAAGCAATCAAATTTGCCCGAGTCATTAGCCACCTCCTTTCCATCAACAAGTAAAGAAAGTATAGTAAGAAAACAATCACCGGAAGTTTTCCTGAAGGGATACACCAGATTATGAGTCGTCAACGCTGCCAATACTCGTTGAATCCCAATTGTGAGTCGCCATATAGAATAGGACAATTAAAACAAAGAATTTGTGCTATTAATTAAAAAGAAAATGCTCGCTCGTAAAACCCGTAAAGACAAAATTACAATGGCAATGGATACGACACAAATTTAGATATGAAAGCGCAAAGAAAAAATTACACTGCAGTGCGACACATGAAACCTGCACCCGTTCATAACCGCCTCTCACGGATCTATCAACCCGAACCACTCGCAAGAGCATGACGCTCACCCGCCATGATGCAACTATCCACCAATTGAAAAGTCCGCAAAACAACAGAAAATCATAATTAGACACCAATGTACTATGTTAAAATTCCAATTACGAAAATTTGAACAAGGACGTGCAGGATGGGGTTTAAACAAATCAAAACCATTTCCCAAAAATTGGTTTGACCATGCATGAATATAATGAACACCAAATCCACGAAGTAGGCACCAAGCTAGGTATCCTTCTTCACTCAACAATTGGAGTTGTTAATAAATTTGACAATCGGACCCTCAAATCGTTAGCAAGGAGACGCAATAATATTTACATAATCAATGTGCAAATAAATGTTGGCGAACCAAAATTATTACGGAAAATTCTTAGTTCTAACCTTGGTTGGACGCAGAAGCTCCAACCAGCCACATGTCAGGTTTCTATTAGTGATTTCATCATTTTTTTAATATTTTAATTTTTGATTTACTTAGCATAATTAAATATTAAGAAAAAAAGAAGGTGAATTCACCAATAACAAACTGACACCTTGGATTGTTGGAGCTTCTGCGTCCAACCAAGGTTGGAGCTAAGAATTTTCCAATGATTACAGACACCATGCAACATATTAATTAGTGTCGATACTTTAATTTCAAGTAGCGATCGGAGTTGGAGCTCCAGGAACATCATCCTTGCACTGCATGTGCGATCCGAGCTAGGATCGGATGACCTTAATTAGCTAGCCTTTGTAGAGAAATTTTACAATGCTATATAGTATTGGTGCTATAGGTTTTTGCCTTTATGGTACAACTTAAAATTGTACATTTACGTTATGGTACAACTTCAGATTGTACCTATACTTTTTGTACAAATTCTTTTATGGTACAACTTGAACTTGTACCTTTATGTGATGGTACAACTTCAAGTTGTAAAGTTGTACCATAACATAATGGTACAAATTGCTTTATGGTACAACCTAAACTTATACATGTAATGTTATGGTACAAGTACAACTTTAAGTTGTACATTAAAGCACCAATGCTATATAGCATAGTAGAAGTGCTCGCCTTTGTATCCACAATTAGCAAGGTAGGAAATTAAAGGACAAGGAAAAAGGACATCAATTGAAACAAAATTAACAAAGGAAACGACAGTGCTCCGAAGAACATTTACTTAATCACCATTAGCGAAATGGCACTCATCAACACTACTGTCAACTCATTCATACGTCGAAGAAGCAAGGCAGGCCAGGAGGAGACACAGACGAAACAATATTCCACGGCTTTCACGAGCTACCTATAGGTTCTTCTCTCTCTGCATGCAGCAATTCCACACCAGATAGAGAGAGATGGTATGAAAGGAATGGTTCAAGAAATCCGTGGAAAATCATGAAAAGAAGAGCTTAGCTTGAGAGAGAGAGAGAGAGAGAGAGAGATTGGGTGCATGGCCCGAAGAAAGAAATGGAGAAGGCCATGGATATAGGTTTGACCGGTTGAAGAAGACCAGCTGAGAGAGGAAAAGAGAAGGGATGGGCATGAATGAACGTGGTGACGATCGACGGGGGAGCTGAGCTGGCCTTTTTCCCGTCCCGTCCCGTCCCATTACCTGCTACTGCGGCTAGATTGTTGATTGATGTTGGTAGTTTCTTACCACGTGGCAGTCAAAGAGAGCGGTGGTCAGTTTGACCCCGTCTAGCTGGCTGCTGACGATCGGGGGCGGCGACGAATCGGTGTTGGGATCCGCCGGCTAGGGCGCTCATATGGGGATCGTCAGTTTTTCAGAGACCTGCACAATTATGCACTACTGTCTACCAACGTCACAGTTACAGAGTAACTAATGAATATTTAAGCTCTCTGCATTTCGTCCTTTTGCCCATGCTACTGCTCCGCCCTGCCCACCGCGTTTTTCGCTGACGTTTCCTTTTCTACATCAAGCCACCTAAATAGTATTTTATTTATATAGTTATGACTTTTCTCACCCATTCTAATGATGCACCATTCATTGCTCGGTATATATATATATATATATATATATATATATATATATATATATATATAATTAAAGTTGATTGATTATAAAAACAATGGGATGGAATAAAAGTTGGTTATATTTATCGAATACATGTATTTATAGTTTAATGTTTGAAAATGCCAAATTGTAAAACAATGATCAACGAAAATGATGGTCTATAGAAGAACGAGATCACCTAATGTGAATGTTGTCCCTCAATCAAGAATTGTAAAACTGTACTGGAGGTTGTAATGGAATATTCAGAGGTATGGTATTTTATTCTGAAATCGTAGTTCAACCATTTCATGTTCACTAAATACCACCTACCGGTTTAGCATATGCTATAAGGTTTTTCTGGTCAACCGCCGGTACGATTTGATTTTTCAATCCTTGTTCAGTTATGTATGAGGGATATAAAGGAGCGAGACCATCTGTTCTTTAGATGTACATATGTACATAGCAGTGGCAGATTTAGGGGATGGCCCCCGGGTCATGGCACAACCCTGCTCTGGGTAAAAATCTTGCAATTTTGTCATTATAAACTGTTCAGTATTTTGTTAGTTACTGATATGGCTAGTGTGTTTTGTTAGTTGCCGTTAGACCATCCACATTTTTTATATAAAAAACCGGACGCTAAAAGAGCGCCCTTGCTTGGCACTTATATTAAACAAGATTGGACAATGCCCATTGTATCGATACATGGTCCAAAAAGCAAGACCCTAGGCAGAGTTCTCAAGAATATGACATTCTATACTCAACGAATGAACACGGTTGGCTAAGTAATCAATTGCTTTGTTGCACTCCCTATATATGTGAGAGATATTTATCTCCCAGTTTTGCTGTAAGAGTTGTTGGAACTCACGTTGCAGATTGTAGTATCTCTTTGCATCAATCTCTTAGGTTGTAAGAAAGGTGAAACCAGTCATGGAATCGACTTGAACAACCTTCCTATAACCCTGCTTCAAGGCAAGCTGCAAACCTTCAATGGCACCTTTGATTTCCGCTCAGGTTATGGTGCAAGTCCCCAAGTTTGAGCAGAACTGTTTCTGTTGATTGAGATCCAACCTTAGGGTGGAGGTGCCCATGAAATTTCTTGGAGGTTTTTCTAATGCTTATGTGTGTGGATCATGGTATCACTTGCTTTGACTTGAGCGATCTTTCTCGTCCACCTTTGAATATGAGGGCAGTTTGGTGTTTAGGCTGGAAGACCATTTGTTTCTTTGCTTCCATAATACCAGGTTGCTACACCAAACATCAGGTCGTGGTGAGGATTCTTAAGATGCGTCGCCATCCATTCTGTCAAATTAAGAGCGAGAGTGTTATCCAGTAAACCCAATTGTTGGCAAACCTCTTTTGTCTTCGCGTAGAGACGCAAAATGTGATCAGTAGTCCCGGCAGCTTCTTGGAAGAGCGGGCAAGCGTCATTAGCATAGAGCTTCCTTCGTTTCCTTTCAGCATTAGTCATTAGGCGGTCATGGAATGCCAACCATAGAGATAGTTTGATGTGACTCGGATCGTTCCACTTCCACAGACTTTTCCATCTCGCTTGGCAGGCTTGTTCGTCGGCCTCAGAGTCGTCGTCCCGAAACCATTCCTCCGCTGCTTGATAGGATGATTTTATTTTGAATTTCCTATCAGGTTCCAAGCTCACTACGAGAAAAGTGAGATTTTCCAACACATGAAATGTGTTGTAAGAAGTGTTGAAAGTGTTGTATATGCGATATGCAACACTTTTCGTAGTGTTACCTAATGTAATAGGTAACAATTTTTTCAGCTTTTGCAACAAAAATAAGAGTATTGCATATGTATACTCCTTATCCAACACTATTTTAGGCAACACTTGTTGACAAGTATTAACCAACACATATATGTTTTATTCATGAGGGGATTTGTTGTCACATAAAACGTCTTCTCACGAGTTTGAATCGTCACCAGATGAATTTCAAATGTGACCAGTTTAAGTTGTTATAAATGAACCACCTCTACGACAATAGCTTTGCGAGAAAATGTTATTTTTGTTACAAAATCATGTTTTTGTCACAAGGATATTGCTATGCAGCTGCAACATTGGTGACAAAAAATTTTTTTATCACATTTTTGTGACAAACAGTTTTGTCATATATCAATATGATAATATTTGTGACGACTATGTATTGTAGGCAACAATATACATTAGTGATGATCTAATTTGTCACAAAAGTTTTTTCTTATTCAAATATCATCACAAAATTGACCTCATTAGTAAAGAACTTGAGTAATTACAAATACATCTTATTTGTGACAATAATATTGTCACCTATAAGTCTTTTAGTTACAAGAGTTGTCACATGAAGAACTTCTTCAATAGCAAAATAAGTTATCATGATAATATCGGGAAATTACATGTTAAATTACACCTTAAAATAAATAAGCATCCCTATAAAATAACATTCATCAATCCGAGAAAATCTCTTGCATAATCACCCCTTCTTCAATCAAGTAAGTGCTACTATCTGTGAGGCTTTGACTTGATTGTGGCCATGGCCACAAAGCAAAGAAAACCACAAATAATTAGCTGATAAAACATAATGAAAATCAATAATGAAAAGCAATAAATGAAATATTTTGGAGAAATTAACTTTGGATAATTTTAGGGGGAAACACAAGATTTTACTATTTACCTCGAAGAATTTAATTTCTCTTGCTAATCAATTTAATCCATATTTCTTCGGTCGGGATACCTCTAAATTGATAGCTATCTCTATAAAGAATTACCACGTACTAACTGATTAAGACGATTTCTACTATCATAGTTAACTGAACTAATTAATTAGTCTGAAGAGCGGTATCCCTAAAATGATCGCCTAATTTCCTATTTAATCCACTATCGATTCGATAGGAAATTATGTCGTGTGAAAAACGTTCGGTTAATAGGTTCACAAATAAGTTCACAAATGCATAATAAGTTCACAAATAATTTACACAATCATACACTAATGCATAATAAGTTCACAAATAATGCATAATAAGTTCACAAATAATTTACAAAATCATACACTAATGCATAATAAGTTCACAAATAATGCATAAGTTCACAAATGCATAATAAGTTCACAAATAATTTACACAATCATTTCAAGCAACAAAATTATAGACTATCAAGTTCAAGACACAACACATCAAACAAAGTAGAAACGACTCACATTCACCAAGTATTATATGCAAATACATACTCTAAAACGAAACTAAAACTCGCCACCCCGCTCTTAGGATGGAACATTGTCCCCAATGTTCAAAACTAGTTTCTGAACATGCAAACACATAAAAGAAAAGAAAAGAAACGTAAAAAAGAAAAACCTTGGGACAAGTTGTATACGAGCAAGGTGAGAAGTGGTGGGGGAAAAAGTACCCCGACGAGGATAGGTCGGCTTGAATGCTTGTTGAACTGCACTAATTTTTGTACCACTGCACTGATATTTGTACCACTGCAATTTAAATTCATATATGAGATTTGTACCTGTGCACTTAGTATAGTGGTACATTTTTGCATGTATCCAGAGGGAGTCTGTCGGATGGATTTTCACCGGAGAAGTGTGGGCGGTCGGAGGTTGCTAAAAAAAGACGGATCAGAGATAGGAGAGAGAATTATATTTTGTGTATGTTTAGATTTACAAAAATCAAGTAATTAATATGATGTATTTAATTCTTAATTTATATTTAATAAGAGTATTAAATTATACAAGTTGCATTTAATACCACGGGTATCATGTTCCCAACCTTTAGAGGGGTTAACAAGCTAACCGACACTATATATTACTACACATAGGGGAATCCCCAAAACAATTATTTCATGTGGTATCTTGAAAGGGATTTTTTGTTTTGTTTGGCTTAAGTTAGGTGATACCTTGAAAGTCTAGTTACCTACGAAGAGACTCAAATGTAGTGTTGAGTTTGATCATTACGGTTTCGTTACAGGATTAGAGAAATACAAGTGAGACTTATAATTAGTCTTATATTTTTACCCGAAATGAGAATTAGACAGATGTGTAATTATCATTCACATATATTTACTTCTTATATTCGTTATATAATTGTTATATAACATAGATTGGCCCAAATCATATTTTGCATTGTAAAATATGCAATTATGTGTAATACTTTGCAGTTTAAAACTTTCTCCTGAGTGTCTTTCATTATTCTTGGTATTGGATAAAAACGGACAAATAGTCCTCTCCTTACTACAAAATCTACAAATTTTATAAGGCTAAACCTAACTAGAAAGACAGAGTCGAAGAGCTTATCTTTACTCTAACTTATAGAAATACTCATGAAATGAAGAAGGTTGAAAGAAATTACCTTCATTCCTTATTAAAGATTTTAGCTTTCTGATTTATGTGATAAAATTGTTTAGTGGGACAGAAACAGTCTGATGTATATAGGATGATATACACCGCGAACACGTTAAGAGTGGTAGACAGAGGTGCCTTGACTATATATATATATATATATATATATATGCATGCATGCAGACTTGGTCATCCAGCATGGGCTTAAGCTGATAGGGAAGAGTATAAAAATACCGCATTCAAAGCCGATAGGTTCGAGCATAGGTACGACATGCTTATGATGCTTGGCGCAATCGTCGCCGGCATCCTCATCAACTACAGTGGCCAAAGGTGGCCTTTCGCATTTGAAATTGTTATGTACGCTGTGGGGGACGTCGTGGTCAGCATCAGGTCAAGGATGGCTACCTACAGAATCGACCGAGGTTTCATGACGGTCGAAACGACGCTTGGCGTAGTTGTAAGCCGCGTATATACTGCTAAGATGGCGCCTGCCAGAGTTTGGGGATTCCTTGGGTCATTCCCTTAGGTAATAAAACGTAATTAACTTACTTAATTGGCAAAATACACTTATATAGCCACAACTTTCACGTTTGTGACAATAATAGCCACATTCTCATAAATACACAAACTAGTCAGAAATTCGGGTGGTTGTATGACAAATCTAGCTATTTGTTATAAACTTTAACGGTGTTAGAGATTCCGTCTGTTAGATTAACATTATGCTAATTAGGATACCACCCTGATGCACACGTCAGCAAAATGACTCTTGTACCCAAAGATTTGCTTCTCCTTAACATTCACACAATGAGATATATTTGATGCACAACCATTTGATACTTTAGTGCCTTTTTTACCGCACATAAGATCTCATTTTCATGGTTCACTAGGGTATAACAAGCTTTCACCATCTTGGAATTTGTAGACTCTCTTAGAAAAAAAGACTCTTTCTTATTTTCATATCCTTTAAATCACGACGACCATTTGCATGATTGGTTTTTCTTTTAATGTCTAACAATGTTCATAAAACATTGTCACAAACATTCTTCTTGATATGCATAACATCATAACATCAAGGTTATGACCTAGCGTATTATGCTCCCAATAAGGCAATTTGAAAAAATCAAAACCTTCGAGAACAGACCTCTTTTCTCACTTGTCTTCTTTTCTTTCTTACTGAAGTCATTGATGAATCTGATAAACTCTTCCTTGATCTGCGAACCTAATAATGATGTCGGTCTCGACCCAAACTCTGGTTTGCAATAAAAAAAGCTCATGTTCTTCTTCCAACAGTGTTTTGCATCAAAGTAATCTATGTGGGCCAAAGCAAACGTTACTATTTTGAAAGAACTAGCCAGCTTCTCACATATAACCTGTGTCCTCATATTATATATAGACTAGTCACATAAATGCATAGTAGTATAAGATACAACTCCATTACCAGGAGATATTTAGAAAAATAATCAAGAGGGGGGGGGGGGACCTTCAAAGTAGCAAGGACATTTATTCTAACAACACAACTGAGTCCACGTTTTAAAAGTGCAAGAACTAAAATGAAATTACCTAATATACTTTGTTGCACCATATCTATTGAGGCTGTTGACATCAAAAATATATCAAAAGGCTGTAAATTCAACATACATTATAATCGTATAGCTTAGAGCCAGAAATCCAACAACACACATAAGTAAAAGAAAACTAGAAGTGAGATTACGTGTAACACCATCTCAATTTCAACTATAATTTCATTTCATAATTGTTGGGGGTATTTAGTTTGGAGAAGCCTACAACATGTGAGGAAGCCCAGCGGGGGTGGTGAGACCTAAGAAGCCCAAGGTGAGGCGAGGCCCGCGTTGCTACTTGGAGCCCAAAGGCATACAAAGAAGGCCCATTTGATAGTGCCCGGTGCCTGGTGATTACGTTGGGTGGACGCGTTAATTCGGGCGCCTAGCAAGAAGATGTGGATAATCGTCCACTAGGCGCCTGGTTCATATCAAGTAGGAGTGACCATTAGACCAGGCGCCTAAAATAATGGTAGGGAGCATTAAATGCGGTGCTGACGTGGATGTCTCTAAGGAGGAACCTGAGTGTGCGATGAACAGTTATAAATAGTGTCGGTTGGTAAGCATTTAAGCAGGTTGGCTTCTTTCACTAAACTGGAGCAGCAAAACACTTCTCTCTCTAAGAAAAACACTAACTTGAGCGTTGGAGGTTTAACGGGCCACAAGGCCCACCTCTGTGTTTGTGCAGGTCAGGGCCCACGGTGGGTGTAGCAAGGGGGAGTACGGAGGTGAGGATTAACGATCGAGAGGGCTTCAACAATTGGTGCGCCAGGTAGGGGAAGATCAAGTAGCGTGAGACTAAAAGAAAGGCGCCTTGCAAGGCAGATGGAGGATAACGGGAGCGAAGTTGAAGAGCAAGTTATGGCAGACGTATCCCAAGATGTGGGGGAGCGGATACCCAGTATGAACGAGGAGGAAGGAAGTGAAGACCGACACCTGCATTCGGAAGAAGCCTCGATCACTAAGAGGGACTTGTTAAAAATCATAGCTGATCAGGACAAAGCCATTGGGATCATTCGAAGGGAGGTAGAGATGTTGAAGGAAGGGGCGCCTAGCCCGACGACGAGGAAAAGGGAGAGAACGTTGGAGGCAGAGGGGGAATCTACCTCACTGAGGCGCCTGGCCTATTATGGAGACTCCGACGGTGGTGAAAGGAATGGATGGACGCAAGGGCTCCCCCCCTCGACAGTTTGCGGTGAGGCAGCCGCCGGCGAGGAATGTGCTCTTGGAACCAGCGAAAACCAACATTCCACCCCTCCCCTCCTATGACGGGATGACAGATCTCAATGACCACTTGAATAGTTACTTCACCAAAATGCAGTTGTACAACAGCTCGGACGCGACTTTGTGCAAGGTATTCTCGTCAACCTTTGCGGGGATAGTCCTAGCTGGTACCATCAGATTGAGGAAGGGTGCATAGAGTGCTTTGAGCAATTCGCGGCAATGTTTTTGGCAAAGTTTGAAAGTAGGAAGCGCTGAACGCTGAACATAGGCGCCTTGTTCAAAATCAATCAGAAGGAGGGAGAAACCTTGAGGGAGTTCTATGAACGTTGGATCCTGGTGGCGATGGTGGTAAGAGACGTCCAGCCTCCCGTGTTGGGGGTCCTTCTTGAAGAATGCACCACTAGCGAGGAGCTTTGTAGGGCGCTGGCCAAGAGGGATGTGGTCTCCACGAAAGATTTGGATCATAGGGTGCAGAAGGTCATTGTGTTGGAAGAGACGCTGGCGGCCAGAAGGGCGGATAGGCGACGTTCAAGGGGTGAAGAAGGAGAAGCGGCGAAGGTAGGCGCCAGAGCCTAGACAAGTTTATGGGGAGGCGCCTTTCGTGCCAATGAGAAGAAATGAGCAGGGGCGCCCGACGTCAAGGGAAAACTCGTTCACTAAGCTCAATGACTCACCAAAAAATGTGCTCCAGTATGTGAAGGATGAAGGGTACCATGTGAGGTGGCCGGGACCTATGAGGGGACAACCAAATGAGCGCAATTTGGATCGGTACTGTGACTTCCATCGGGAGCAGGGGCATTATACGGTTGATTGTTATCAATTGAAGACAGAGTTGCAAGGGTTGGTGGATAGGGGCATGCTCAATGAGTTCGTCAAAAAGCCGGAAGAGAAGGTACACAAGGCCTACGTCACCCGTGCGGAACCTTAGGTGAATTTTCCCCCACCTCCGTTCGAGCTTGATCAAGAGAAGGCGCCTGAGAGGGTAAGGCTTACGGTGGAGTCAATCACTGACACTATTGATTTGAGAGAAAAGTTGGAGGCTAGCCGACGATTGAAGGCGGTGTCAGTCGACGCGAAGGAGGCGATATGCATTAGCTTCAACCAAACGCCTGAAGCAGCTTGTGGCATACCCTCCTTGGAGGCGCTTGAAATTCAGGGGGTGATAGCGCGATGTACTGTGAAGAGAATCTTAGTAGATACGGGGAGCTCTATGGATGTGTTATTCAAGAATACAGTGAGGCACATGTGTTTGTCTCCTGACCTGATACGACCATCCATCTCGGTACTGATAGGGTTCTCCGGGGCGCCTGCGAGGGTGATAGGGCGGGTGCACCTCCCTGTAACTCTGGGAGACGAAGAGCAACGGGTTACGCATGCTATTGACTTCGGGATCGTGGATTGTCCGTCCCCTTACAATGCGATACTCGGCAAGCCCCTTTTAGCCCTATTCAACGGAGTGGCGTCCACTTGCCATCAGACTTTGAAGTTCATAGCGCCATAAGGTGTGGGCGTGGCCTGAGGAAGAGGCGCCCCAAGCTATGCTCGGCGCGAATGCGCGCGGCCACAGAAGAATCAAAGGGTGAATGTGGTCGTGACCGGGGCAGAGGAGGTGCCTAAAGCTGAGGCGACTGACGAAGAGCTGATGATCCCCCTAGATGAGGGTCGCCGGGAAAGACAAGTAAGGATCTCGGCTCAAGCGCCTCCCAAGATGATAGAAAAGTTGGTCTCCTTGTTGAGGGAGTTTGCGGAGCTCTTTGCGTGGAGCGCCAAGGAAATGCCCGGGGTGGCGCGCGAGATCGCGGTCAATAATTGGCGGTAGAGGTAGGAAGAAAGCCTGTGCAGCAAAAGCGGAGGAACCTATCTCAAGAGAAGGAGGCAATGCTCAGGGCGGAGTGGATAAGCTTCTTGAAGCCGGTTTTGTAGAAGAGGCCACCTATGTGACGGGGTTTTCCAATGCGTGTTCGTCCCAAAGCCCTAAGGGGACCGGAGGATGTGCGTGGACTTCACGAGCCTCAATAGAGCATGTCCGACAAATGCATATCCGATGCCCCGCATTGATATGCTAGTGGATGCCACCGCCTACCACGAGATGCTTAGCTTTGTTGACATGTTCTCGAGGTATCACCAGATTCCCATGGACGAAGAAGACCGGGCGAAGATGGTGTTCATGACGCCCTTTGGGAACTTTTGCTATAGGGTCATGGCATTTGGTTTAAAGAATGCGGGCGCCACCTATCAGCGTATGGTGAACACGGTATTCCAACGGCAGATTGGACGGAATGTGGAGGCATACGTTGATGACTTGATAGTCAAGAGTTGTAGACGAGAAGACCACCTACATGACTTGAGAGAAACGTTCGAGACCATGTGCCTACACAACCTTCGGCTGAACCCCATAAAGTGTCTTTGGCGCCGAGGCTGGCAAATTCATGGGCTTCATGATCACCAAAAGGGGCATTGAGGCCAAACCAAAGCAAGTGGACACCATCATCAAACTCACACCTCCAAAGATGCCTAAGGAGGTCCAAGGCTTGGCGGGGAGACTCGCAGCGATTGGGCGCTTCATATCAAAATCAGCTGACAAGGAAGCCCCCTTCTTTCGGGTGCTCAAAAAAGCGGTACGTTTAAAGTGGGATGAAGAGTGCAATGATGCGTTTGAGAAATTAAAGCGCCTTCTTGCGACACCCACGATGATGACGGCGACTAAAGCGGGCGAGGTGTTGTACTTATACATTGCGGTCTCGGAAACAGTAGTTAGCGCGGTGATGGTGTCAAGGGAGGCGCCTACGGGAGAAGAGAAGCCAATCTATTATGTAAGCAAAACAATAGGATCCCACAAGAGGCGGCACGCGCCCATTGAAAAGGCTGCTTTGGTGGTCGTAACCGCTTCTACCAAGTTGCTCCCCTACTTCCAGGTGCATACTATTGTTGTCCTCACCAACCTACCGCTCAAATCCACGTTGGGTTACATGGATGTGGCTGGGCGCCTTGTTAAATGGGCCGTGCAGCTAAGTGATTACGATGTCAGGTATGCGCCTCGACCTACAATCAAGCTCAGGTGCTTGCTGACTTCGTGGCAGAAGGAATAGTGGAGGCCGAGGAAGAGACTTGGCAAGTTCAGGTTGACGGGGCGGAGAGCCGGATTGGCGTCGGGGCAAGGATCATAATTATCAGCCCTATGGGAGTCATGCATGAGATTTTCTTGCGATTCGTTGAGCTTAAAACCAACAATGCCGCCGAGTACAAAGCAGTTGTCGCGAGGCTTCGTATGGCTCAAGAGTTAGGCGCCCAGAAGGTGCGTGTTAAGTCAGACTCAACCCTCGTGGTCAACCAGCTCAATGGGGTATTCGACGTCAAGGAGGAGGCTCTTGAAGCCTATGTTCATGCAGTGGGAAGAGAGGGCGCCTAGTTCAGAGAGGTGGAATTTGTACATGTCCTAATGGAAGAGAATGCTCATGCGGATGCACTGTCGAAGTTAGCCACAGCCTTGGACTTCGCTGAAGAAAGGAAGGTCATTGTCACAAAAGAAGTGCAATAAGAGTATGTGGTATCCGCTGTGGGAAATGCTAACGGGGATGACGGTTGGATGGCGCCCATTCTATTGTACTTAAACTTGGGGACTATCCTGGATGACCCAAAAGAGGCATGGCGACTTCGGCGAAAGGAGGCCCGATGTTCCATAATTGAGGGACAGTTATATAAGCGATCCCACTCAGGCGCCTACCTGAGGTGCTTGAGTAGTGACGAGGGCAAGGCGACGCTCGAGGAGGTACACAGTGGCACTTGCGGAATGCATGCCAGCGCCCGAAGTCTGGAAAAAACATTGCTTCGACAGGGGTACTATTGGCCAACAATGCGGAAGGACGCCAAGGCTCATACAGGTGCCTGTCATCAGTGTCAAGTCCACGACAACAACATATATCCAAATGCATCAATGCAAGGCAACACGGGCGCCTGGCCCTTCGCACAATGGGAGATGGACCTTCTAGGTCCTTTTCCGAAGCGACCAGACAGATGAAGTATATGATAGTCGCCGTCGACTATTTCTCCAAGTGGGTGGAAGCCGAACCTTTGGCAACCATTACTGAAGCCCATGTGCGCAAGTTCACAAGGAAAAATATATTCACTCGATTTGGCTTGCCGGAGTCTATTGTTACCGATCATGGCAAACAGTTCGACTACAAAAAGTTTGTTGAGTTTTGCGACGCGCATGGAGTGATCCTGAGATTCTCCTCTGTAGCATACCTACAAGCCAATGGGCAAGCTGAGGCGGCTAACAAGACTATCTACCATGGTTTGCATACGCGTCTCATGGGCGTCAAGGGGCGTTGGGTCGAGGAATTACCCATTGTGCTCTGGGCGCATAGGACCACGTATAAGTTTGCCACCGGCGAAACGCCCTTTGCGGTGACCTATGGCAGCGAAGCGGTCATCCCAGTCGAAGTCAACATTCCTAGCTATCGCGTGCCACATTATGATTCGGGCAAGAACGAGGAAGATAGGTTTGATGAGTTGGATCTTTCGGACGAGCGCCGAGAAGTGGCGTCTGTGCGCCTAGAGGCAATGAAGAGGCAAGTGGCCCGATACTACAAAAAGAAGATGCACCCGCATAGTATACCAAAGGCGCCCTAGTCCTAAAGAGAGACTTTCGGCCAAGCGCCTAGGAAGGAAAATTGGCTCCCAAATGGAAGGGCCCATATTGAGTTGGGGAAGTCGTCAGGGTGGCTACGTTCAAGCTCGAGCACCTCAACAGCAAGTCGGTTAAAAGGAAGTGGAATGCGTAAAACCTACGTGCGTATCACCCCCCACTGGGGGGCAAAGAGGCATGATTCTGATGGTGCAAAAGGGTGGCGCCTTTGGTAGTGAGTTTTTTTTTTGTGGGGAATCAAAGCGTTTGTGGCGTTCGGCGCCTAGTTTCGTGGGTAGCAAAGTGTCGTAGGTAAAGTTGTGCTCAGTGCTTGTGTTAATTAAAGCGCCCGCAGAACAGCTCCCCCTTGTGTTAATTAAAGTTGTGCATGTCATTACGAAAAGCGCCCGAATAGTCGCGCCCGCAACAACGAAACGCGCCCGTAATCGCGCCCAAATCGAACTAAAGCGCCCGGTCGTATAATTTGCGCCCGTACCAAATTTAAGCGCCCATACTAGCACCTAAATACTGTCGAAAGAGCCCTGTACTATAGCACCCTATATCAATAAAGCGCCCATAAAGTAAAGCGCCCAACCAATTACAAAGTAGAAGGAAAGAGCGCGTCATGAAAAGACGCCTTATAATTAAACGGGATACCATATTCAAAGGTCTACATAACACAAGGAGCCCCTCTCACATGAAGGGCGCATAATTATCAAAGAAACGGAGGAAACATTACAGTCGGGCGCCCACAATGCAAGGTTACAAAGCGTAAATCTACTCCGACTTAGAAGATAGGTCGTCCACCAGAGACGACTCGCTATCGTGGGGAGACGTTGCCTCCCCGCCTCCAGTTTGTGGCGCCTCATCCTATCCGGGCGTCTGCTCTTGTTGCTCGCTTAGCATCTCCTCGATTACAAAATCCACCATTTCATTGAGGTCCCAAGTTATTTCGTGGTGATCTTGGTCGAGCTTTTTCTTGACGATCACCAAGCTGTCAAGGGACGCCTTAGCAATCATCGCCTGTCCCTGCTCAGAGTTGGGGAAGTATTTCAAAGACGCCCTCAAGGCCTTGATCTTCTTGTGAGCATTCTTTCACAACCATTTATATCTCTAGTAGCTTTGTTCTATACTTAAAGTATAGGGTATATGTGTCATTTCCAAATAAAATAAATTTACGCAAACAACATAAACAAAAAATCTCAACAACCAATGTCAAAATGAGCTAATTGTAAAAATACATGTATTTATATTATAGCAATTTATTAAAAACACAACCATTTAACTTACGAATATGATCTTTCAGATTTATGCCCAGTAGCCTAGCCACTAGCCGTCGATAATTAGTATGCGACTTCTAAATAAGAATACAAGCTGATAGGTTGGTGGACCAACACGAAACTTATCAATAATCAAAATTCCAACACAAAGGTGACTTTCAAATCAACCAGATTTTGCAAATTCCCAATTCATGAGTTAAATTTATATGTCTAACCATCAATTCGGAAATTTTATTACAAACCAGCTACTCATAATTAACTTCCAAACAAGAAAAAAAAAGAGGAGCTCTCTCCTATCTCCACAAGCTAGGTCGAATCGCTGGGGGTTTCCTAGTAAAGGCGATCGTCCTCCTTCTGCAGGTTAGTCTAGCAAATCAACAATGGCTTCGTGGAAGTACAACAAGGCAGGACTCCTTCCACGATGGAATGGAAACTGAGCAGAAACAAATGAAGGCAACCCTGGTCATCCCACATATTGAGGGTAAGGGCAGAAATAGGGTCGCTCGGGTAGTTGGCTATAATATCGAGCTCAGAAAAAGGATGTTGGGCTCTATCCCGGCGAATCTTATGCCTTGAGCCAAGAGAGCTCGAGTGCTAAAGAATGCTATGTGGAGGATTTTGTTTCCCTCGCAGGCTGAAATAGATCCGGATGGCTAGTAGGAGGGAATCCGGTCTCGTGTTGCCGTTGGCGGCATGCCTGAGGCCAGCCTCCTCCATGAAGAGCCGCTGAGACCGGTGGGTAAATGCTGTGATGTCCAAAATAAAGGACTTTCCAATCGCCAAGCAATGCAGTCAAAAGCGCGATTCTACCTAGAAGCGGTTGGGTGACCTAGAAGCGTAAAATCGTAAGCTTTTAAGTTTTAAAACGTAGATTTTAACTACATTTGTAAGGGAAAATCACGATTCTACGTAGAAGCGTTGTGGTGAACCAAAAAGGTAAAAGCGTAAGCTTTTAAGATTTAAAGCGCGATTTTGACTACATTGTCGCCAGGTTCCGGTGATGGTCGTCAGAGCTTCGGCACATGTTGTCGCCGCCGGTAACTCGTGCAGTTGTCAAATCGATAAATCCGCCTAAAATCCAGCAGACCGGTTCACCCTGTGATATGGGTATATTGCCCGGATATTGTATCCTGGAAATGGGGATTTTATCTTTCGAAATTTCAAATCGAGAGGGACACTCCTGTTCGGATTCTGAATGGTGTAAATGAGAATGAAAGGGGAAGGAATCAAGAGAATATCTTGAAATACCATATTGGTTATATATGGAAAGGAGGTCTTGGATTCAGTTGATTGATTTGATTAAATCGTTTGGTAATTGGTCAAATTGGTTTGTGTAACCAACCGGACCAAACCAATTTGAACCGAACTGATGTGACAGTTGGGGTGAACCAACCGGTCCAACTACAATAGGCCGAACCGATACAATGGTTCATAATTTTAAAATGAACCAATGTGTTGGTTAGGGTGTAACCACCCACGCGAAGGATCACATCCCTTCACACACTCATTCATTTTCTATAAATAGCACCAACCCCCTCTATATTCATACGCGAGTTTTCCTATAACGATTTTTGGCCGAAAGAAAGAAAATGTGTTTTTTTCTACATTAAATTTTCCTCTCTACAAATGCATGAAAGAAAATAGAGTCTTGTGACTTCTCGCCGTTCGTTGCGTTCGCTGGTTTATGGGGTTTCAAGTACCGGTACGACATAAAAGGTACGTCTGTTCTATCCTGGAAGGTATAGTTACATAACCTTGGGTACCGTAGAGGGGAACTAAAATTTTTAACGAAAAATAGTGAATTCTATTGGCTCGGACGTATTTATGCATGAGTCATAATTTCTTCTCCTTAATGTTTTGTTTATCTTGATTTCTATGTGACTTGTGGTGCAAGAAAACCGGTATACGTGACATTTCCATAACAACTACCCAAAATCGAACTTTGTCGAACAGAGTTGGCTCCTATCCTTGGACGGAAACTCCCTACGACTTATTTAATGCCCCTGCCCCGATCTTCAACTCTCACAAAAAATTTTGACGAGGGTTGTATTGGGTGGCGGCAGCGAATAGTGCAATTAACTCCAAGAGGTGTCCCAACTTTGGTAAGAGACCGTTGGTCACGAGCTCCCTGATATCTTGAGCTCTCGTTCCCCAGTCCCTCCTCCTGATCTGCGCATTTCCTTAGACCTGGCTTGTTCTAGTTCCTCGAATAGGGGTGATGTCACTAACGTGGACAAGGTAACATAGTAAGGAAGTTTGTTAACTAACTCCCTCCTTGTTATGCAGGATAGAGCTATGGCGCGCGTTATCGATGATCAAGCGGTGAGCTTCTTGCTTGAGGAAATCCAATCTGCAAAGTTTTACGGATCACAGATGGTACTGGGGCCGCTATTCACAAAATATTCCCGGAATAGTCGACCCCTTTTCGGTTTGATGCTCGATGGGCAGACAACCCGGAGATCAAGGCTATGGTGAATTATGTTTGACAAGAGGATTTTTCATGGGTTGTCTACGTACAAACTCTGGGTTCGACTGAAGAAGCTCCGCCATTTGCTGTATGATTGGAGTAGGGCGAGGACCACAAATTCTTTACGAAACATTAAAACTACTTAGGTTGAGATTGACCGCATTAAACAACAACACCCAATCAACAGGGATGAGGTGAGTGTGCCAGAAACGGATCTTAATCCTCAATGGGAGGCGGAGGAGATATACTGGAAACAGAAATCCAGAGTGAGGTGGTTAAAAAGGGTGATCAGAATACTTTTTAATTCCACACGATCACTAGAACAAGGAGGAAATGCAACTATGTGGTCGGTCTCAAGAATGACGATGGTGATTAGATCACGGAGGAAAAGGGGAAGGCGGATATTGCCATTGATTTCTATCAAACCCTTTTCACGTCAAAAAACCAGATCCTGAATATGGAATCTAGGGTGGATAGCCTCCCGCTGCCGCAGAAGGTGACTGAGGAAATGAATGAGAACCTCACGGCGGCAGTACTACCAGATGAAGTTCGGTGCACGGTCTTCCCATGGTATCGAAACAGGAGCTTGGCTCTGATGGTTTTATAGGGAAATTCTTCAAATCTTTTTGGGGAATTGTGGGAGAGGCGGTGGTTGAAGTTGTCTGGTCGTTTTTTTTTTGAACGAACCAGATATTATGAAGTTTTAACCATACTTGGCTTACTTTGATCCCAAAAGTGGATAACATGGAGTTCACGCGACAGTTGCGGCCGATAAGCTTATGTCAGTTTGTGTATAAGATTAAAACCAAGATCATGACTGAAATACTTGCTTAATTTCTCCCACAAATCATCTTGGAAGGGCAGAATGCTTTCATCCGGGTGAACAAATTGTGGAGAATGTGCTACTGGGGCATGAATTAATGCATTATCTGAAAATTAAGGACCGCGAGAAGAAAGGGTACATGGCTCTAAAGGTTGACATGGAAAAGGCCTATGGTAGAATCGAGTGGCCCTTCCTCTTTGCGGTTTTGGCTAAACTTGGATTCAGCCATGCCTGGATTGGCTAGATACAGGAATGTCTCAGGTCATCGTCGTTCACGATTCTGATGAACGGTACACCTCATGGTTTCTTCAAATCGACCTGCGACCTCCGGCATGGTGACCCATTGTTTTCCCTATTGTTTGTTTTGTGCACAGAAGGGTTTGCAGCCCTTCTCTGTAAAGCCATTACAGAGGGTAAACTGGAAGGGGTAAAAGTAGCCCCTCGGGCACCTAGGATTTCACACTTGTTCTTTGTGACGTACTTATATCTCCGATGCTCTCTGTAGCAATGTGAGAATCGGATTGAGGTGTTGAATGAATATGAGGAACTCAGTGGACAACGAGTCCACCTGGCAAAATCGGTGGTCTGTTTCAGTAAAAATATTTCGATCCCGATCAGGAATTCCTGGCTCAAGTTCTGGGGGTGGGTGCGGTGGGTGTGCAAGGTAAATATTTGGGGTGCCCACGCTCATAGCCCAATCCAAGCTGGCCACATTCCCGATTCTTGGAGGAACAATTGACGCCTGGCGGCCTGGCTTCAAGGGTGGGCCCAAAAGACATTATCGTGCCAGTTGGATACCGAGTCCGCACCTGGATATCCCAACTTATAACCAATAGGTACTTTCACATAGGGGAGATCTAAAGGTGGCGGATATGTTAGTCCCTGGTGAGGGATGCTGGCCTGGTGATAAATTGGCCCAATGGTTCCACCCTGACACTTGTCGTGCTATCAAGGCTATTCCATTACCCTGCCAGGATATGGAGGATAAGCTCATCTGGCATTTCAGTTGTGATGGAGTTTTCACAGTCAAATCAGCTTACCACCTGGCAGTGTTGGTGGATAAACAGTGGGGTACGTGGAGCCCCACAGTTAGTTGGATGGACAGGAAAAGTTGGATCTGCCTGTGGGATTACTCGATTTCTCACAAACTGAAGATCCTTTTATGGTAAATCTTGCCCCGTTTTCTCCCAACAACGAATGCCCTTATTGAAAAGGATGCTCTGGTGCTTCCTAGGTGCCTGGTTTGTTGGGCAGATTCCGAAACTATGGTACATCTCTTTTTGGAGTGCCCTGTAGTTAGTGCTTTGTGGGATCATGCTGGTTTGGAGCATCTAGGCCAGGGCCTCCCTCGTCATACTTTCCCGCTATTCCTTAAAAAACTGTTGGCTCTCATCCAGAACTCACATCAAGTAATGGCGTTTGTGGCTGTGCTTTGGAGGATATCGAAATCTCATAACTGGGTTGTATTTGATGGCAAACAGTTTGGGATCTTAGCTCTGATGAGGCAATGCCATCAGCAGTTGCATGAGTGGACTACTTTACCTAAGTAGATGATTGTGCGCGCTCCGCTGGCCGGGAATGGTGGTGCGTAAACTACCTCCCCTGGGTGGTCTGCAGGTGGGATGGGATGACGAGGCAGGGGTCCCATGTGGCTGGGGGATGGTTCTCCTGGACCAAGATGGGGCGATCATCTTGGCTACGACCATTCATTTCCCCAGGATGGATAATCTCATGATAGTAGAGCTCTTGGTCCTCCAGGAGGCGATCCTATAGTGCCTGATGCTAACACTACAAGAAAACGTGGCTATTGAAGCAAATAATTAGAAACAATTATAGTAATAGTCTCGATAGCTGGACTATGGCAACAAATATATTATTTGTCTCTCTATGTCATATTATTTGCCTCTATTACATAATATTTTTTATAATTTATAAGAAATAAATTCAAATAAAAAACTTTAGAGACAAATATAATATTTGCTACTGTATAGTATGTTACTCAAACTATAAATGATATATAGAGGGAAATCTAATTGCTTGTAAAGTTGTTTTGTTTTTAAGTAAAATAATTTAATATATTTAGTATTACAGGCACTAATAAATGTACTTATATATGTATATAATAATTACGTGTAATGCTTTGCATTTAATACAAATGAAGGGGGAGAGAGAATCTGAGCGGGACATGAAAATTCAAAACAAAGAGAGGGTAAACGAGCGGGATTGAAATAGTAAACGAGCGGGATTGAAATATTCGAAGTGCGAAAATTTCGCTTCTTCCGAAAGGGAAATTGTGAAGCCAGCCACGCTTATTTACCCTTAAAATAATAAAGTTGCTTTCAATAACAACACCTAATATTAGCTGTTAAAACAATCCTAATAACGAGAGAGAGAGAGGGAGGGAGAGTCCCTTTGTCTTCATACTCTCTTCACTAGTTCTTCTTCCCCGGCACCCACATTGGATTCTATGGAGATGCCAGCAGCGACTAGAAGAGGCTTCTGATGTCTAGTATTGGTGGTGGGAAATTGAAGGCCGATGAACAACCAAAGGATATGCATGCGATGCAGTAGCAGAAGCATAACAATGGTAGTTGTGGCAGAGGCGTCGTAATGGGTCAACCAAGGTAAAACGACGGAGTCTTCTCGGCATAACACAATAATACTGCAGATCGACAATAACAGCGGTATGTATTTGAGTAAAATCAAATAAAAATATTGCCGCTCTTCCTGTATTGGTGTTTAGGGTTTCTAATCCCGTCTTTTGGGCGTTTGCTTTTTTCAATTTCAAGTATCTCAGGCAATTGTTTCAAGGCACGCAGACATTAGCATGCAGCGGTCTGAAAACTGGAATGCTGAACATTGAGGATTGGTAATTTATTGTTTTACGCTCGTGATTGTCAATTCATACATATTAAAACTTGATTGAATATATTAATTAGGTTTCTTGATTTTTTAAGCTATTTGTTCTTATTCTCCTTTCAGGATACAATTGTCGAGTTTTTCAAATCTGCTCGAGATGCTTAATGATGATTGGTGGTGACAAGTAAAGGCAAACCAAGACATGGGTTACGTGATTATCTATATTTTTGGTTCAAGGGCAGCAGCAACAATGGAAAATTGATAAGGGAGAAGAAGAGCTCAGTAGTCCTTCTCTGTTAGGATACAATTTTTAGTGTACTTTTTCCTTGTCCAACTATATAATTAGCATTGAAAATTGTGGAAAATCAATGTATTTAGTTTTTTTAAACAAATATATGTATTTAGTTTGATGTATTCAATCATGTAAACGTTGATCTTTTTGATTTGTTTAATCAAAATATGCTTACTTTTTATTAAATAGAGCCAATTATAAGAGAAATATTATTGCAACAACAAGTCAACAAGCAAAAATAGTAAAATAAATTATTTTCTTCGAAAAATGTATTCATTAGAGACAAATATTCATGTCTCCATAAGGAAGTTTAGAAGCAAATATGGTTGCATCAAAAGTTAAAATTGCAAACAAATGTAATTGCTTCTAAAAGTAAATAAGAAGGTAAAAGACAAGCTCTTACAGATAGAATCCGAATGCAATAAATTTGCTTCTAATTTCATAATTAGTAGCCTATGTTATTTGCATCTATATTTGACTCTAAAATGAATTAGAGACAGAGGCGTCTGATGCAAATAACGTATCTGCCTCCATAGATATATAGAAGCAAATAAATGTCATTTAGAAGCAAATAATCTCTCCCTCTATAGCCAAGTTTTTTTGTAGTGTAAGGTCATTATTGATAGACTCAACCAAGCTCAGAATAGTGATAGTCGCATTGGGGCCATTTTTCGTGAAGTATTGAACTATCTGGCTGAGCATATAGGGTTTAGAGTGCGATTCGTAGGTCGGTGTAGGTAGCCCATTTGATGGCTCACAAGGTCCTTTCTTTGTAGCTGACTAGGTGTCGCTCGTTTAATTTTGTGGCCTGAATTCGTTGCAGGATGTAATGATCTATTTTTACAATCAATATATATGATTATTTTTTATATAAAAAAAGCTAATCATGCTAGCATACATTCAACATCTATTTACAAGTAGAAAGGAATTATGAAAGAGTAAACAAATCGTCACAAATATAATTAATACCGAATTGTAATACATTTACAACCTTAATCAAAATCCAAAACAATAAAACCAACAGGATCACTACATAAACACAAACTACCGCAACGTTAAGAAAGAAGAAGAAAGAAAATAACAAGTTCGTGCACTGTAATAGCTGACTACAACGTAGCCAAGAAGGCCTCGACCTTCTTATTATCCCCGGCCGAGAAGAACCTCATGCAGATCGGCGCACCAACCCCAGCCAGCGACAGAATCGCCGCCGGAATCCCCCACAACGACTCCCCACATATCATCCCGGAAGCCACCGCCGCCGCATAGTCCTCCGCCTGCCTCCTATTCCTCCACGTCCACAAGAAGAGAATCAAGCTCCCCACGCACATGTCGATCGCGAAGTAAGCCCCCAAGTAGAACGGTATCGCCATACACATGGGGCTCGGCACGAACCTGTAGATCCTATACTTGGTCTCGTACTTCTGCAGCAGCTCCTTCGCGAGGTTGACCGCCATGGCCAAGAAGAAGAAGCCAATCGACAGCGCGAGGCAGTTTCGCGGCAGGGTGGACACCCCGTCGACACCCAACAGCGCGATCCCACGGTAGATCAACGCGTAGGGGGCTGGGTAGGGCCCGCTGGGGTCGCCGAGCGGGTACGATTTCAGGAAGAGAAGGAACACCAAGGGTGACATGACGCAACCCATGAATGTGCCGATGATTTGCGAAAAGAACATGGCGCGTGGGGAAGAGAGCGTGAGGTACCCGGTTTTGAAGTCTTGGATTAGATCCGAGGCCGTGGACACGATGGACATCATGACGCCGCACGAGGCCAGGCCCGCGATGATACCTCCGCGGCCCAGGCCCACCCAGGCGCTGAAGATGACTATTGCCAGCTTGCCGTAGTTGGACGCCAGGGACCAGTCCGTGAGCCCGCAGCCGTAGGCGTTGCAGAAGGCGAGGACCGGGGCGATGAGGTAGACGACGACGAGGTGGTACCAGCGGAGCTGAGGGAAGATTAAGGGGACGCAGCCGGTGGAGATTGCGGCCGTGGCGAGGTAGCCGATGATAGCGTACTTTGTTGGGATCGGGTCACGGAGGAAGTAGTCCTTTCGGCGCTTGTCGTCGTAGCTTACGGCGGCGGTGGCGTCGTCGACGAGGGCGGAGGAGTCGGTGGTTGTGTTGGGCTTGGATGTGTAGGAGGTGATGAGGGATGTTGTGGACTTGACCAGCAGGTAGATCACCTGGAATAGCCCGTCGCCTAACATTGTCGCGATGGCGATGAATATCTGCAACAACATTTACACATTTGTTAGTTATTCACGCATCTTTATTTTCATTCGCGTAAATTTATTTTTATTTACGTTTACCCATAAAGCTAGAAAATCCAAATCTAATGTAATGTAGGAAAATATGGCCAATACCAATTATTAGGAGGGAAAGCAAAAGAAAAAAAATGTATGAAATTTCATGAGTGCGAATAATCATAAGTCATATTACGTGAATAATGACGAAATGACGTAAATGAATGCAGAATACCTTATAACCTTGGAGACCGTGGAGGCTGCTAGGGCTAAGATCGGCGCTGAACCAGTCACCTTTCTTGGCATCGATCAAAGGCCACATCAATCCCCAGGAAATCACGGCGCCAAAAAGCAGCGAAATGTTAACCATGTACGGGCAGATCATACCAACTCCAACATACGTTGCCGAGAAATCGAAGAAGAATCTGCGGTAATCAAGTGATTAATTAGGAAAACGAACAAACTAGTAATTACCAATTAGTGAGTGATTATAACTGAATAATTACTTCTGGTTAAACGCTTGAATGCCTAAAGTGGGGAAGTTGGCGAAGCCACACGCATCCCCAGCGGCGAAGAACCACTGGAAGAAGGCCCAAATGAAGCTGCCGCCGAACGATTTGAACAGCACTCCCACTTGCTTCCTGCAGTAGTTGATCCGCAACAATAATTACTCAATTAATCAACCAAAAATGATTGATTAACTAACTAATAATGAAATTTCTGATAAGGTTTAATAATTACTTGGCGAGAGCTGCCCCTTTGGGTGTGTGGAAGCTGTTGATTAGATGAGCAGTTGCGGTACCACTAGGGTAAGTCAACTTGTACTTCAGGATCATCACTTTCCTCAGCAGCACGATGGAGAACAGTCCAACGAAGCTCACCAGCAGGAGAAACCCCATTATCCAGCCAACGGAGAGCTCCTTCACGTTCAATGGCGTGTTCCCCGTCTCCCCCTGCTTCGCTACCACTGGGCTCATTCCCAGCAAGTAACTCGCCGTCCCACCTTCAAACAAGCAGCCATCAAAGTAAGCGCGATACAAGTCGAAATTTCATGTGTACTTTGCACAATATAAAAAATCCGTACCAAAAAATTTTATAGGTATTAACTTCGCAACAAAAACGGTTTTGTAAAACCGAAGAAGGCGAGACGACGATGCAACTGTTATTACTAAGTTTCAAATTTAATTTGTACCGTAAATAAATTTAATTTATACGGAATTGTATAGTTACTTATTGAATTTATAAGTACACGAGTTCAATTTATACCATGAATTTTTTTGTACGAAAAGTTAGGTACGAACTGCATTTGTTGCGTCACACAAACAAATTAGGAGTATAGTGGCGTAGCGCTCATACGAGCGAACGAAGCCGCGAACCACTACTTCACTATGATTCAATTGCACAGGACGTAGTTGAAGAGATTCTAATTAAATCCTAGTATAATGCAAATTAGGGTTTAAAAAAAATCAGATTGAAAAAAGATAAAATTAGGGATTACGTACTGCTGAAGGCGATTCCGGAGGAAGCGACGATGCAGGTCTGGATGACGGTGTTCTCCTGGCGGGTGAATGGCTGCTTCAAGAGGCCGAATCTGTTGAGCAGCTCCGTGTATCCCTTCAGCATCGCGAATCCGAGCAAGCCGGCGGCGACGTTGAGCGACGGGATCACTCCGGTGGTCAGATTCAGCTTGCAGACGATGAAATTGAAAACCAGGCTGAGCAGCGCGCTCGCGAAGATCGCGCGGAACGTCAGCTGCTGCCACAGCGACGGCACCTCCGCGTCCCTGAACGCGTCCTCCACCGAGATCTTCCCCTCCGCCGCCGCGTCCTCGGCGACGATCTCGTCGGAATCGCGGCCGGACTCGTCCGCGTAGCGCGGCGGGTGCCGCCGCTGGACGCCCGTGGCGCTATCACCGCCGGTCATTGTCGTTGGACTCGATTGGAGTTAGTGTGGTTTTTAGGGGAGAGAAGGGCTGGTTGGAGATTGGAACAGAGGGAATGAATGAGACTGAATGTTGTTGGGTTATTTATATAGGGAGAGATTGGGAAAGAATTTCGGCGTTTGATTCGAGAGTGATTTGATTTTCAATGGGATTGTGATTACTGCTTTTCTCTCGTAGAGGTTTTAGAGATCTACTGGTGTTGTTACTTGTTACAATTACAGCTGGATCGAGGCTAGCTAACAGGGCCGTGGATGGCATGCGCTATTGTATCACCGCCGTTGGATTGATATATAATTAGGGTTAGTTTAGTGTGATTGGTGTTAGTTTAGTAGTTTGGTTTGAAGACTTAAACGAGAGCTGAGTTTTCTCCTCGTGAATTAACAAAATTAATTCGTTAATTAGTTCTTGAGTGGGGACTTGGGATTCTTATCAATTACTTGTGCAAGAAAATAACATGGTTGTCATCTCGTTGGCATGTCAGCCGGTAGAACTGAGTTCTATTAATACCCGTTATAAAATTGGGTTATGGTGATTGATCGAGTTCTATTAATACCCGTTAAAATTAAATAATAATACATTTTCACCGTTTCTTGAGATTGAAAGTTAAATCTTGATATTATTTGTTGGATTAAACTATGAATGTTTAGATTATAAACTTTTGGATGGTGTCGTTAAATATTATATTTAAATATGAAGGATTTTTAATTTTATTTGAAATGTTATATTTTATTTAAATATGAATGTAAATTTTAGAGATATTGTCTTCAAATATGTTATATGCATGCCTAAATTAATTAAGTGTTAATGATTTTCCATTTCCATACATATTTTGCTAAAACAAATATGAATTGAATTGGCGTAGATAGATTGTACCAGCTATCAGACTATAATTGGAAAATAATCAGCTTCATAATCTTTTACATTATTGTTGTTATATTATTTCGTGCGCTACAAATGAAAGTAATAAAATTAATCACAAAAAGGAGAAATTTGAGAAGGAATAGGGAATCAATTAAATTCGAGAAGAATTTTACAATGCTATATAGTATTGGTGCTATAGGACTTTACCTTTATGGTACAACTTAAAATTGTACATTTACGTTATGGTACAACTTTAGATTGTACCTATACTGTTTGTACAAATTCTTTTATGGTACAACTTGAACTTGTACTTTTATGTGATGGTACAACTTCAAGTTGTAAAGTTGTATCATAACATAATTGTACAAATTGCTTTATGGTACAACCTAAACTTATACATTTAATGTTATGGTACAACTTTAAGTTGTACATTAAAGCACCAATACTATATAGCATAGTAGAAGTGCTCTAAATTCGAACCCAAAAATGTATAGTGAGCAGCCAGCTGTTGCATGCATGATAGAAAGACCGCACGTACGGGCCACCCAAGCCACTGGTTCGAAACGCAACCGAAAGACTAAAAATCAACCCAACGGCCAAACCAATGCAATTGCTTACTAGCTTCGTTATTATAACGACGAGAAGAACGTACGTCCAATGGATTGTGGAGGCTCTGTTAAAAACGAGATTTGGCTCATGAGATTTTACTATAAGTTAATAAAATTAAAATGATTATAATATTATTATCGAAATATAATATCTTTCTATTTTTTAGTCTCCATGAGATCATTTTCAATTGTTATCATAGCCATTTCATTAAGATTTTTTTGTATTATTGTTAATACAAATAGGATTTTCGAAACACAAACAATACTTTAACCATCAATATACGTGTTTAGTGTATATATGCATGAGATTATTAATCAATAACTAACACTAGTATTAATTAAACATATCATCATTCTCATAATTAATTAATCGTACACTAGAAATACAACGTACAATATACTATTGGATTAACTAACGAATCTAGGCCCTGTGCCGGAGAGACGGCTGACACACCCTCCAGGCCGGCCCTGACGACGAGAGGGAGTGGTAAACGGTCCAGCTTCTTAATGGTTAATTGATTTTGGTTGAACCGAGACCGGCCAGAAGATCATATCGGTATTTTAACTAGGGCTGGTTATTTGGTTCGGGTTTTTTGGTTTTATCCGAAACCGAACCGTATAACCTGGACTGAGACCTGACCGGAACCAGATAGTAAACAATCCAATCCAATTTTTGGGCTTAGATTTGAGGTAAAAAACCGTTCGGGATCGGATAAAAAACTGGATAAAGACCGTATAAGAGGGCTCAACACCCAAAACTTAAGGGTAATTTGCATAAACGGTCACAAACCTTTGCACTTAGTACAAAACTTAACCAACTCCTCACCCTTTCATGCCTTAGGCCACTCAAATCCCCACAAGTTCAATATAAAATCAAGACCGAATTGAGACCGGACCTGATCAAGACCGGACTATATCCAATCCAATCTTTGGTCCTTATATTTCCAAAAAACCGAACTGGACTGGATCAATTTGGGCCAATTTAACCGGAACGGATCGTATAGTCACCTCTAATTTTAACTATTATGAGAAACCGATGAGGTCCGAATCCATTTCGGCAAAGCCTAATTATTATATAGCTATAAACACATATTATACTACTCATAACTAATGCAACATTCATATGCATCTTATTATAACGATTTGCCCTAAATAAGGTGGACATGTTGGTTGTGTGGACTTTAATTTGGAGAAAACGATCCACAACTACAACCTACCCAAAAATTATTCCTTCATATCTTTCCTTTAACTGGTACAATGTACAAGAATCCTTTGCTTCTCTTCTGTACCATGAATTTGTCCATAATTCATGAGTGAATATCTGCAACTTTACATAAGAATCTGACCATCAGACTAGGATTTCGTAAATTTAAGGGGCTTGCTATTTGCCGCCAATCAAATTGCTATTTGCCGCCAACTAAAAAAAGTATATATGTACATCTTTGGTTAAGGAGTTTCACAATCTACAACATATCCAACTTTCAGAGAACGTATGGTATCAGAAAAAATCGACGCTCGCCGGAAAAGTCGCCGGAAAATCATCGGGAAAGCCCATCCTCGACGTAAACTGCGGACATGCATCCATGAATCATCACTAAGCAGGTGCGTCAATTTTTTGTAGTTTCGAACAATTTTTCCGACGATTTGCAACGAACAGACGGTGGGCTGAAAATTTCCGGCGGCCGGAACCAGGCAGGGCCGACGGAAATCGGTGGCCGGGGCCAGGCTGAGCCACAAAATGTTTTCGGCTCAGCCTGGCTCCGGCCACCGATTTCCGTCAACCCTGCCTGGTTCCGGCCGCCGGAAATTTTTGGCCCGGCCAGGTTCCGGCTCCCGGAAATTTTCGGCCCACCGTTTGTGTTTGAAATTTTTCGGAAAATTTTGATTTTAGGAGTTGAATTTAGAGTTTAGGAGTTGAATTTAGCGTTTAAGAGTTGAATTTAGCGTGTAAGAATTGAATTTAGAGTTTAGGAGTTGAATTTAGCGGTTAAGACTTGAAATTAGCATTTAGGTTCACAGGAATATTGACGTGTTATATTGTAATTGTAGGGAAAATGTCAGAGTGGTTACCGGCCGATCATGATTACACACAGGAATTTGAGAATGGGATCCATTATGCAAGTGTGAAGTTAGCTGAGTTAGCTGCAAAAGCAATCGCTCAGGAGTATGGGTTCTTTATTGTTAGATGAGCATGGAAACCGAATACTGCTGGACTACATCCTGTTACTGCCCTCGTATGTATAGCGACAGAAGCAGTATGATCGTTAAGTCTTATAAACCAAACCCTACGAAGGAGATGCATGGGAATATTAGTTCGAAGGGTACTGGTTGCCAGTTTCATATATGTATTAAGGAAGTATGGCAAGAGAATGGTCCAAACACATGGGTCATAGTGGGAGTGACAAGTCGTGTAACCGGAGCTAATAGAGTGTTTCACAACCGTGAAAAGGTGTTGTATCCAGAACATCACCGACACAACAAACAGTTTAGTGAGGCTGAAAAAGACAGGTTAAGATTAATGAGGAAGGCGGGGGTGAGACCAAATCAGCAGAAGACGACACTCAATACTGAAGGGGGTGTGCATCATGATACCAAACAGATGTACAACATAAATTACAAGACAAGATTGGATGAGATGGGTGAAATGGATGCGATACAGTTTGCGCTTCACGGAGCTGAACAGCGTGGGTACCATATCTGTTTGCAAAAGGACTCTAATAATGTGCTCACTAATATGTTTTTTGCGCACCCGACGTCCATTCAGATGTTGCATGCATGGCCGTACGTCATCCTCATTCACTCGACCTACAAGACCAACAGGTACGGCTGGTCATGGGTTGAGATTATTGGGGTTACTCCAGTCAAGAAGAATTTCAACATTGCATGTGCTATTAACATTAATTGTTAATTAATCACAAATTAATTAATTTTCTATTAACTAATGTACTGAATATTAACATTAATTATTAAATCTCTTTTGGCCCGACGTCGGCTTGGCAGCAAATTTTTTTCGGCCGGCCGACGAACACCCTGCCTGAAAATCTTGGCCGGCGTGTTCGGAAGTTAATGTCAAAACGAAATGTTAATGGTATCCGAATTTATAGAATGCTTGGAAGGGAAAATTAAAAATTTGAGTTCAAATTTTTTTTTTTAGTTGGCGGCAAATAGCAATTTGGTTGGCGGCAAATAGCCGTTCACAAAGTTAATGCCAAAACGAATTGGATTGCACAATCATGTGCACGATTGGATTACTATTCTTGATGTTGTATGATGAGAGGGCCTTTGGCATACTTCAACAAAGATGAGTCATTGTTAGGAGCCGAAGTTATCTATGGGATGTGCAAACACTTGGTTATATCATGTTAACTTGTATTATTATGCATAACATGATAGTGGAAGATCACCAAAACAATACTATGAACAATGTAGTTAAAATCGCGCTTTAAGATTTAAAAACTTACGTTTTTACACTTTTAGTTCACCAAAACGCTTCGTAGAATCAAACTTTTTACTTCCAAATTACAATTGTAATCAAAAGGCTAAATTACACGTTTGGTCACTCGAATTACATAAATCTTTCACGTTTGCCACCCAAATTACTTTTCTTTCATATTAGCCACTAACTTTACGATTCGTTTCACCGTTAGTCACCCTCCGTTAGACTCCGTTAACACCGTCAAATTTTTGATGACGTGGCAAACAGAAGTGTTGACTGAGCATTAACTTAATGACGTGTCAATTTTTTAAAATATAAAAAATAAAAAGAGATTCCACCTCACTCTCTCCTCACAACAACATTTCTCTTCTCCTTCCTCTTCGCACGTGCAGCAGTCAAAACAGAGATTAGCGGAGCCATCGATCTCCCCGTCCCGTCGGCGAGGTACCTGTTACCACCACCGTCGAATCAATCTTCAGTGGCGCCACAATCATCTACTCTCGCAGCCGCTCGTTGCTTTTTCCTCATCCTGGTGCCACTCGTTGCTGTAAACTGCGCCGCCTTCAGCAACCTAGTCCGACGCACCACCAAACTTTCTCGTCGCAGTCGAAGCCGCCACCATCTCGCCAAGACCAGTTGATACAAAAAGTATAGGTACAATCTAAAGTTGTAGCATAACGTAAATGTACCATTTTAAGTTGTACCATAAAGGCAAAACCCTATAGCATCAATACTATATAGCATTGTAAAATTTCTCATAGCTAAGAACTAGTTAACACTAATAATTTATTGGATGAATTTGCATGTAAGCTGACACATCATCATCAACTCAATTATATTAATTTTTCTTTTTCTTTATGATTTTAAAAACTAAAAAACAATAGAAAAGAGAAGACCACCATCTTCTTATCCCCTTCCTCTTCCCACCATCGAGAATACCAACAGATGCCCACTCAAAATACCACCACCTCTCTCCAATTTCCGCTTCCCCTCATCCAGTTTGTGTTGGAAATGTATATGAATAGTTTTGAAAGCTATAGAGTCTCTAGTGGAAAAACTACCACATTGGTAGTTTTACTTGGTGAAATGTGTATAAAGATAGGAGCCTCTCTCCCAAGGGCATGCCCCTTGGGGTGACCCACTTTTGTGGGAGAGGGAGGACCTAACGGACCACCACACACAAGCGCGCGCGCCGTCCGTCCGTCCGACCGGTTGGTTGGTTGGTTGGTTGGTTCACTTGAGACTATATATATATTTTTGGAGAAATTCCGAACGAAATTAATTATCTAATAATTAATTATTAATCGGTTGTTCTGAGGTATATTCCTAAGGATAATAGACTAAAACGGAATATTCGAAGGATAATCCCTCCGGGTTTATCTTAACCGACGGTTTTAATTAAGGAAGTAATTATCTTCATTAATTAATCTGACTTATTCCCCAAGCAAGAGGGTATATTCCTAGGGGTTCGGCTCCTATAAATAGCCGCCTCCCCAGCCCCTCTAAACACATCACAACGAGCAGAAACACAATAGAGAGAGTGTTTAGAGAGCTTCGGTTTTCGCACAAAACCGCGAGTATTGAGAGGAGCTGTTTTATCCTGGAGACGACCGGTTGATAGTCTGCCGTGCGCATCGAAGGCAGTGCCGCGAACGTCTTAAAGAGAGCGACCTAGTCCGCGACTCAGCTCCAGATTCGGTAACCTCGTTCCTTTGGTTGTTCCGTTCCTAACAATTTTAAGACGTTCGGCTGCTGCTATGTCGACTGAACAGAACAACATGGCCGGATCTGGTGCTGTCGATATCAATCGACCCTTTCGCTTCGTTGGGGTCAACTTCCGTTGCTGGAGGCAAAAGATGGAGTTCTACCTGATGACCAAAAAGCTGGCCCACTGCCTTACCAGCATGCCCTTCGAGCTGCCGGAAGAAGCGACCGATGAGGAGAGGGCTGCTTCTGCCAGGGAAAGGGAGCATGACTTCCTGTGCAAGAACTACATCCTCAACGGCCTGACAGACGATCTCTACGACTACTATGCGGACAGTAAGAACACCGCGATGATGATCTGGGATGCGCTCCAAAAGAAGTACGACACGGAGGAGGCTGGAGCTAAGAAGTATGTTGTCAGCCGCTACCTGCGCTACCAGATGGTGGATGACAAGTCCGTCGAAGTTCAGTCCCACGAACTTCAGAAAATAGCTCATGAGATCGTCTCTGAAGGTATGCCTCTGGACGATCAATTTCAAGTTGCTTGCATTATTGATAAGCTGCCCCCTTCGTGGAAAGATTTTAAGAATATGCTTAGGCACAAAACCAAAGAATTTTCACTGGAAAGCTTGATTACTTGCCTAAGGATTGAGGAAGAGTCCTGCAAGCAGGATATGAAAGAAGAGGTGATGTTCGTCACTGCTAAACGACCCACCCCTAGAGCTCTTAAACCTAACCAGAAAGGGTTTAAGAGTAAGAACCAGCAGGTCCGCCCCCACCAGAATGGTGCCTCTCGAGGTAACCAAAGGGTCATGGCCCAAACCTCTAAGAATGACCCACCGTTTATCTGCTATAACTGTGGAAAACCGGGTCATATGGCAAAGAAGTGCCGGAACAAGCAAAACCCTGCCGCTGCTGCCAGGGTTAACTTGACAGAAGAGGATTTGATAGCCATGATCACAGAAATGATCGTTGAAGTTTGACTCACCGGTGACTCAGAAGGATGGTGGCTGGATACAGGTGCATCGAAGCATGTATGCAACAATCGTGCTATGTTTAAAACATACACAGAAGCACCTGCTGACAAGAAAGTGTTGTTGGGGACTACTCACACCACTATGGTTGCTGGTTCTGGTGAAGTGGAGTTGAACTTCACCTCTGGGAAGAAGATGGTGCTCAAGGATGTGTTGCACACTCCAGAGATAAGGAAGAATCTTGTTTCGGGATATCTTCTTAATAAGGCTGGGTTTAATCAATCTATTGGGGCAGACTTGTATACCCTTACTAAGAATGGGAGTTTTGTGGGAAAGGGATATGCATGTAATGGGATGTTCAAGTTGAATGTCGAAATTAATAAGATGAATTCTTCAGTTTACATGGTGTGTGATTTGAATGTCTGGCATGCGCGTCTTTGTCATGTGAACACACGTATTGTGAAGAATTTAAGCAAGCTAGGACATATCCCTAAACTCTCAATGAATGAATTTGATAAATGTGATTTCTGTAGCCAAGCTAAAATAACAAAAACGCCCCATAAATCTGTGAGTAGAGAATCAGAACCCTTAGATCTGATTCATTCTTATATTTGTGAACTAGATGGGACGTTAACTAGGTCTGGCAAGAGATACTTTATCACTTTCATAGATAATTGCTCTGATTATTGCTTTGTTTATTTGATGAAAAACAAAAGTGAAGCCCTTGATATGTTCAAGGTATTTGTGGTTGAATTTGAAAATCAGTGCAATCGAAAGATAAAAAGACTTAGGAGTGATAGAGGATCAGAGTATGACTCTAATCCCTTCAAGGAATTCTATAGCTCACATGGTATCATTCATGAAACCACGGCACCATATTCACCAGAAATGAATGGTAAAGCTGAGCGGAAAAATAGGACGTTTACAGAATTAGTTGTGGCTATTATGCTCAATTCTGGAGCTGCTTCTTCTTGGTGGGGTGATATTTTGTTGACAGTTTGCTATGTGCTAAACCGTCTTCCAAAAACAAATAGAAAAGAATCACCCTATGAGATCTTGAAGAATAAGCCACCTAATCTGTCCTATTTAAGAACGTGGGGCTGTTTGGCCTACGTAAGAATTCCGGATCCTAAGAGGATTAAATTGGCTAGTCGAGCATATGAATGTGTCTTCGTTGGCTATGCGGCCAATAGTAAGGCATATAGATTCTATGATTTGAATGCTCGTACTATAATAGAATCCATTGATGCTGATTTCTTTGAGACACGATTTCCATTTAAAACGAGAAATAGTGGGGGTAATGTACTACCCGCTATTAGAGATAACGGAACTAGTGGGGGTGTTGGTTCTGGTTAGAATCTCAAAAGATTTTGGTGATGACTTTACTACAGCATTCACCCTCGAAGATCCAAAAAGTTTGCAGGAAGCATTAACTTCCGTAGATGCAGATTTTTGGAATGAGGCCGTTATAGATGAAATGGAATCGTTAGAAGCTAATAAGACTTGGCATCTAACAGACTTACCTCCTGGCTGCAAAGTCTTAGGTAATAAATGGGTTCTAAAAACGAAACGGAAACCTGATGGTGCAATCGAAAGGTTCCGAGCTCGCCTAGTAGTTAAGGGCTACAGGCAGAGAGAGAATATAGATTTCTTCGATACCTATTCACCAGTATCTAGAATAACATCCATTCGTGTAATGATTGCTCTTGCTGCCTTGAACAATCTTGTGATACACCAAATGGATGTTAAGACCGCTTTTTTGAACGGTGATCTGGATGAAGAAATCTATATGGAACAACCAGAAGGGTTTGTTATCCCCGAACATGCCTCGAAAGTCTGTAAGTTAGACAAATCATTATATGGTTTGAAACAGGCTCCAAAACAGTGGCATGAGAAGTTTGACACTCTCGTTCTCTCACATGGCTTTAAGGTGAATGAAAGTGACAAGTGTATTTACTGCAAGTCAGAAAATAACACTTGTACTATCATATGTTTGTATGTAGATGACATGTTGATATTTGGTACAAATATTCACGTGGTCAATGAAGCAAAAGCCATGTTAAAAGAGAGCTTTGAGGTGAAAGATCTGGGAGAAGCAAAGTTTATGCTTGGAATCCAGATAACTAGAACAGCAAATGGTTATTCTCTAGATCAATCTAGCTACATAGAGAAGATTTTGAAGAAATATAACTATTTCGACTGTAAACCTGCGTGTACTCCGTATGATGCTAGTGTAAAGCTATTTAAGAACACTGGAGACAGTGTAAGACAATCAGAATATGCTAGCATAATTGGCAGTCTCCGTTATGCTGCGGATTACACTCGACCAGACATTGCATATGTCGTGGGATTGCTTGGCAGGTTTAACAGCTGTCCTAGTAGAGAGCATTGGAATGCTATAGAGAGGGTCATGAGATACCTCAAGAGAACAGCAAACCTTGGTATACACTATCAAAGGTTTCCTGCTGTACTAGAAGGGTATAGTGATGCGGATTGGAATACCCTATCAGATGACTCCAAGGAAACCAGCGGGTATGTTTTTAACATCGCTGGTGGAGCTGTGTCTTGGAAGTCAAAGAAACAAACAATCCTAGCTCAATCAACTATGGAATCAGAGATGATAGCACTAGCCACGGCTAGTGAAGAAGCAAGTTGGTTGAGAGGATTGTTGTCAGAGATTCCCCTATGGGAAAGACCGGTCCCTCCGGTATTGATCTATTGTGATAGTACCGCAGCTATCGCTAAAGTTGAGAACCGGTTCTATAACGAAAAGAAACGACAGATTCGTCGTAAGCACAGTACTGTAAGAGAACTCCTAACGATAGGAGCAGTGAGGGTGGATCATATAAGATCCGAATGGAATCTAGCTGATCCTTTGACGAAAGGATTACCTAGAGAGAAAGTCTAGAATACAGCCAAGGGTATGGGACTTATGCCTACCGAACCACGGACTACAAGTGATGGTAACCCGACCCAATAGACTGGAGATCCCAAGAAATGGGTTCAATGGGTAATAACAAGTCATGAGTAGTATGCGAAAAGTTCATGCATAGTGAAGCATGAATCCCAAAGCAATGGAGGTTGAGTTAATAACTCTTAATGAGATCTATACCCTATGTGGGGTGGAGTACTTTACTTTGGGGGGTACTCTTGATAGACTCACCTATGTGAATGTGGGAGTGGGGCCGCTCCCTATGGAACTTTGGAGGCACAAAGTTGCTAGAGCGTTCACTAAACCAAGGTAACGTGCATGGCCATAAACGCACGGGCTATGAAGAGAACACAACTCAATGAAAAGATCCGGTGTGCTACACTGTCTGAGATAGGGTTCAAGACTACGAGTCACCCTTATGAAATCGGAAGTGTAACCACTACGCTAAGGTTCAAATCTTCGCGATACCTTAGCTTATGCCCGATCTTATGGAACTGTTGATGCTCAGAGATAGTTTCAAAACTATTCAAGTGGGGGATTGTTGGAAATGTATATGAATAGCTTTGAAAGCTATAGAGTCTCTAGTGGAAAAACTACCACATTGGTAGTTTTACTTGGTGAAATGTGTATAAAGATAGGAGCCTCTCTCCCAAAGGCATGCCCCTTGGGGTGACCCACTTTTGTGGGAGAGGGAGGACCTAACGGACCACCACACACACACGCGCGCCGTCCGACCGACCGACCGGCCCGTCGGTCGGTCGGTCGGTTGGTTCACTTGAGACTATATATATATTTTTGGAGAAATTCCGAACGAAATTAATTATCTAATAATTAATTATTAATCGGTTGTTCTGAGGTATATTCCTAAGGATAATCGACTAAAACGGAATATTCGAAGGATAAATAACCGACGGTTTTAATTAAGGAAGTAATTATCTTCCTTAATTAATCCGACTTATTCCCCAAGCAAGAGGGTATATTCCTAGGGGTTCGGCTCCTATAAATAGCCGCCTCCCCTGCCCCTCTAAACACATCACAACGAGCAGAAACACAAATAGAGAGAGTGTTTAGAGAGCTTCGGTTTTCGCACAAAACCGCGAGTATTGAGAGGAGCTGTTTTATCCTGGAGACGACCGGTTGATAGTCTGCCGTGCGCATCGAAGGCAGTGCCGCGAACGTCTTAAAGAGAGCGACCTAGTCCGCGACTCAGCTCCAGATTCGGTAACCTCGTTCCTTTTGTTGTTCCGTTCCTAACAGTCTGCTGCCAATAAGCGTCGTCGCTGACTCTGGTAGTTTTGGAGGGTCCTCCTCGCAAGGGCGAAACATTCGATTACCTCCCAGGATCCACCATCCAAATCGGCCGAGTCGTTCGGGAAAACACTCTAGCCATCAAAGCCCCCGGCATCTCGTCCACTGCTGCCACGTCATCCTCCTCCACCACTCGCCTTCCAATCTGTTCTTCTGATTCCTCCACTGCCACCAAGTCCCAATAGCGACCCAGACTAGCGGCGTATCGATCTGCCCCCAATTTCACCATTATGATGGATGAGCCCAAGAGCCCTTCCCTCCAAGAACTCAGCATTAGCAACAACGCAAACCTCCACCATTTCCATGTTTCAGGTCGACCTTCAACACACTAGGGGGCTGTTAATCAACAACACATGCACGGTGATGATGTGCCAGAAAGAATTAATGCTCCCGAGTTATACATGTATCAGGCTGTGTTACTTATCACTACTGCAGGAGTCTGCCGAATAAAACCCCGCTGAAGATGATAGCGCCAAACCATTTGTTCGACACAAATTAATCTGCAAATCAAGAAGCAGGTGAGTCATGGTTGTACTCAGGTCTACAGCTACACATCTTAATCAGAGTCAAAAAGGAAAGCCAATTGATGTTCTTCCTAATGGTACAATACTTCCTGTTACAATCAGCTCGACTGGATAGGTCGACTGTCTGAATCTGCCAAGCTAATTCTCCGGATGCTACTACTAAACTCGTATAATATGGCCAACCTGGGAGCAGGCCGTCAGTTTGAAGAATAAGCTAAAATTGTTTCATTGCTGTAACTGTAAGTAACTAGTTGTTAATGAACCAAGCCGCTTGTTATAAACGCGCTGCTGGATCGGGAAATCGCCGGAATCGATAAAGCAAAAATACGAAAGCGCGAATCGAAAAAACACAGACACACGATTTACGTGATTCAATAACACGATGTGTGTTAGCTAGTCCACGGGCGAGAGAGCCAGTTTCACTATATCGAGGAGATTACAGGTTACAAAGGAGTATGAGAAGTATTTATAATACTTCTTCATGTGGGTCTAAACTTAATCCAATTTGGCAAATGAAACGGTTACAGACCAGGCCCAGAACCCGAACCCAAATAACAACGAGACCCCCGACTACCAGTCGTAGCGGCTGATAGTCCGATTCGAGTCACATCAACACCGCTCATGAACGGCTCAGTGTGCGACTCGAGAAAAACTCGTTCGACACTCGATTCGTTTTAATCGAGCCGGCTCGCGAACAAGCTCGTTAACTAAACGAGCCGAACTCGAGCTATACCATGTTCAGCTCAAAACCTCGCGAACAAGCTCATTTAATGGTTTGGCATAAGAAAAGGATTATAATTCATGGATTTTATGTATTAAAATTGGGATAAATATTGTGTTTTACTTTGCTAGACCTTGCTATAGGTTTGAATGTAATTTTGTGCATAGTTCTAGGTCAATCTTGAGCTATCACGGACATTTTATGAGCTGAACTCGATTTTTGGCTCGTTAAGCTTATTTGACGAGCCGAGCTCGAGCTTTCATTTTCATAAACGAGCCGAGCTCGAATCTGAAAATATATTAACGAGCCGAGCCCGAACTATTAGTGTTGTGGTATATGATCCACGATTGAACCTCTCCCAACAACTCGAGTTATTGGGACCAACTGGTTCATGACATGGTAACAGAGCCTTCGAGAGGTCTTGTGTTCGATTCCCAGTGACCCTCATTTATTAAGCACATGGTATTCTTGTCTTCAGACCTGTGCAAACTTCAAGCTCTTGTGAGTGACTTTCGTTTGAGAGGGCGTGTTAGTGTTGTGGTATATGATCCACGATTGAACCAAGTTTACCAAGATCAGCATGAAATGCAATTCCAAAACCAGTGATCCATAGCTTTGTCGAATACCCAAATCTCAATGCTGTAGATTTAACACCCACTTTCAGATCGTCTTCCTTATCCTACATGTTTACTCACTATCATTTTTCAATAAAGGGAACAAAAGAAATAGAGTCTGTATGAGAGATCACAGTAAACAGGCTGCCTTCAAATTTGAAAGCTAACTGATTGGTTCAAATACCAAAGAGAGTTTTACTGCAGATCTGTGTTTGTGGAGCCATGCCTGATGTGCGTATATAGTATCATATACGAGAGTCCAAAATACTCCACTCGCGTAAAGTGGCAACAGAATAGCTGGATCTAGACTTCCTCTTATCGCCGACGAACCTAACAAAGCTCCCCAGTTAAACGTTAAAACCCATATACGCTTGACGCTGAACATCATAGATGACAAAACATTGCAACCCATCACAAAAACGTCAGGTCGAGCAAGTACACACTAGAGCAATGGAATAAGCCACCTCATGATGCTTACCCAAAAGGTGAACCTCTTCATACGAGAAAACCAGTAACAATGATGCTGCTCCCAAAATCTTGCTGTAAAACATCAACTATTCATAAAAACAAAGTTAAAAACAAAGTTTCTTGTAAACCTAGGATTAGAGGACACAAATATACTACACCCTCATTCAGTTGATTCTACACTGTGTTCAGCAAAACTAAAGCCAAAAAGAAGCCCAGAACAGCACAGCTCGTGCACCCTTAAACCCAGCACTAACAAATATCAAAGATAATGATTTCAGCCTGTTGTAGAAAACTAAAGGATGGCATCAGATCAGATAACAAACTGTAAACTCTTGGAAGCTAGATAAAAGAATTAGATTGATTAGAAACCAACCTGTAATCATTCGGTTGAAGGAGAATTCCAAGACCCAAAAGCAATTGAGAGCCGAGGATACATAGACCCTGAAATGGTGTCAAAAGACCACTAGCAATCGGCCGTAACCAGGTGTGTTCTACCTGCATTTCAAGAGTTCTCACTATCATCTCCTCGGAGCAAGCTACCAATCCAACTCAGATTTCAATGAAAATCTTCAGCAGGGCAGCTAATGCATAATACCTTGGTGTCACTATATTGTTGAAAAATAAAGTTTAATAGTTAAAATAAAAGGAATATCTAGAGAGGAGGAGTAGGTACGGTGTTTGGCTTTGTGTAGAATGGTCTGGTTGTGTGATCAGACAAATAAAGCAACCAGCACCACAAACTCAATGGCGGTTCCAACTGCCTAATTTATTGTGCTCTAGATATTTATGTATCCAAGGCTTATAGATAGCCTTGCAGAGCCAAAGAAAGAAAGAAGCAAAGCAATAAAGAGCCTCCATTCCCTTCTCCAATCAGAAAAAGCTTCTACCTAGTTTCTTGTCTCATTCTCCAAATTAAAACTACGAAAGCCTTCCCTTCCCAAACAAGTGCCCACCAAAAGCCACACTAATAGTTTTGATTAATAAGAGAAATAATATTTTATTTCCAACAAAGTGGTATTAGAGTTCGAGTTATTCTTAAGTATACTCTGTGGTTGCAGCGTAGTCTGAACTTTCACATCAGAAAAGAATTTCTCATGTTTTTGTTATCACGATTGTCCCATAGCCGAAAAATCCACTTTCCCCATTCAATTTCCCCACCTTACCAAAACTAATTACAAAAATTGGTGCATCCGTGTGAGAGCATTGCTGGGATCCCAAGATGCTTGGGATATTGTTGAGAAAGGTTACGAGATTCCCGTGGAGGATTCTCGGCTATCTCCTGCTGAAAAGGAGGTTTTGAGAAAAAATAGAAAGAGTGATCAAAAGGCACTCACTCTAATTCATCAATGTCTTGATGAATCCAATGTTTGATCAAATAGCATATGCTACCACAACAAAGGAAGCACGAGAGAATTTGCAAAAAGAAATGCAAGGCGTTGAACCAGTGCAGAAGGTTCGACTTCAGACACTCAGGGGAGATTTTGAATCTATGAAAATGAAGGAGGGAGAATCTGTTTCGGATTACACCGCCCGTGTGAAGTCTATCGCCAGCAAACTGAAGCAATATGGGGAGAAAATTGAAGAGACCAAAGTGGTGGAGAAAATTTTACGGTCATTATTACCGAAGTTCGTTTATGTGGTGGCCATGGAGGAAGCCAAAGACTTATCAAAATTGACGGTGGATGAAGTCATCGGTTCACTACAAGCCAGAGAAGAGAGGCTAAATAAAAGAAATGAAGAATCGTCAGAACAAGTGTTAGCTACAAAAGCTACCACTAAGGAGAAAGAAGGCGCACGAGGAGGAAGTTACAACAGAGGTCGAGGCAGAGGCACTTATCGAGGCAGAGGAAGAGGCAGAGCCCGAGGAGCATATCAAAGCAGAGACAGAGTAAATTTCGCCACGAACTATGAAACGTCCACCAGAGGTAGAGGTTGTGGTCGTGAACGTGGAAGAGGAAATTGGAGATCAAATGAAGGTCGTGATACATCCAACGTCCAATGCTATAATTGCTCGAAATATGGGCATTATGCATCGGAATGTTGGAGTCCGACTAAAGTAGTGGAGGAGACAGCAAACAACGTGCAAGAAGAAGAAGTTAAAGTCACATTTGTAACATCTCGTTCCGGCAAAACCCATATTTCGATCGCTAGAAAGTTCGCGATTTAAAATCGAGCATTTCGACACTATTTCGACGAAAATCGGATTATCAATCGATCGGATAAATATACGTATTAATTATATATATATATATATATAATCTGTCCATTTAATTCCGCCGTCCATTACATTCCCATCCATTTTCTTCTTCTTCATTCTTTGCGGACCGAGAGTAAGCGGAGAGCAGAGCCGCACGCAGAGCTCCGGGGAAAAATTTCCATAGCTCAAAATCTTGAGCCCTACTGATCCAAAAATCCCGTAAGTAATGCCTAATTCATCTATTCATCGTGATTTATCGATTTAGAGCTTTAAAACGAGTTTTTGGTTCATGAATTTCTTGAATTCCCGATAAGCCAAATTAGGATTTCGGAGTATCCGGAAGCCGGATTGAGCCTAAATTTCATATACGAGCTTCCGGCAGCGAGGTAATCAATCCTCTAGTTCTAATCCCTGAATTTCGGCTATTATTTAGGCCGGGGTCCAAACCGCTGAATTTAGCTCCGGCCAGGGTTTGATGTGTTTTTATCGAGAATTTGACCCGGAGCCTAGAACTAATATTGACGGGGATACTGCAGGGGATATTAGGATGGTCTCGGATTTTAATTCGGGGTTCGTTCGTGAAATTGACTTTTTAGTACGGGAAGGTTGAACCGGTGTTTGAACGACCATAACTGGTGAGGGATTAGCACGACATATCGGGTTTGTCGTATCACGATAATTATATTGATGCTTAGAATTGATCTAGGTGAACTAGAATGGCATGATTAGGGGTGTATGAACTTTTGTGCTATATGTTGAACCCTGGATTGCTGTATGATATTATTGACTTGCCCTAATCGATATGAACCTTGTTTATGCTGATGATTGTGTATATGTTGCAAATTGTGGGCTTGACTGTTAATATGCTTTACGATGGTTCGAGAAGGTGATTAGGTATGATTTTCCATGATTGTTGTATTTGGATGCACAAGTGGGAAAATATATATTCCCTTGTGATATTATGATTTTTAAGGAGGATGACTTGCACGAGGGTTTATCCCGAGGAAGTGCAATTATACGACTCCTGATTTACTTATGTTGAGCCAATTATGGCCAGGTCAAGTACATGTGCAAGTAATGAATTATGATTAAGCAAGATGAGATATGAATCATGTATAAGGATACCAAATATGAGTGTTGTGGTCTCACGGTCAACTACATAGTAATTAGGGCTCCCTATGCTATTACTCTATTATGATAAGTATGATAGTCACACCTCTCATGTGGTGGTGACTGAAGATTTCTTGCGAGATATGACCACACCCAGAGTGGTGTTGGGGTATGACTACACCCATAGTGGTGTGGGGTATGTATGACCACATCCGACGGGATGTTGGGGTATGTATGACTACATCCGACGGGATGTGGGGTATGTTTCCCAGGAGAGTTATTAGTATGGGAGTAGCCAGGCGCCTATAAGTAAAACATAATAAGATGCATATGCATAAGTCAAGGTGGTTGAGTCTTTTTCCTATTGGGATGTCGGAGGGCTGAGGTCCGATCCTAGTGTTTTGGCTTGTTTACTAGATGTATGGTAGGGGTATGCTCTGTTATGAACTCACGATGCTATGATTATCTCACTCAGCCATGAGCTGACCCTCTTTTATTCTTCTTCTCTGCTTATGCTATGTGTAAGCATATCATCAGCAGCAGCAGTAGATAAGTGTTATGTGGGAGAGGAGCTGGAGTTTAAGCCAGGATGAGGTATGGTCTTCAACTATTATGTGCTTGGACGACTACTTGGGATTTTGGCCAGTGATCCACACCTTTTTGTAAAATTGTTTTGAGAACGTTTTTCATGTGCATACTAGCTTCTGATGTAGTGTGAGATATCCACAGGTGTGGAAAGTTGATGATATGTGTATATTGTGTAATTAGGTAAGTAGTGATAATTATAGCATGTATCAGTATAGTATGCAGTTGTGTAGTATGAAACTGTGACTATGGCTATGAAAAGCCAATGCATATGGTTGTTAGTATATATGTTTGTCATTGAATGCATGGATTCAGATAAATTATTTTGCAGGTTTTAGTTACAAGAACTGTTAGCCCATTACGCGAGTAATTCATGTCGAAATTTTATTTGGGTAAATTTTGATAATTAATGTAACACTCGAGATTATTTCCGCTGCAATTGTATGAACAATATGATTAGGCAAAACGTATAGGGTATGGTGTTACAGTTTGGTATCAGAGCCCTGTTCCCTCTTTTTACTGTTATGGCGTACTATACCCTGTGGGAGGTTAAACACTCCTAAGGAGGGGAGTACCCCATAGTGACTTAAACTGGGAATTGAGTTGACATGATTATGTGTATTGGTATATTGGATGAAATTATCTGCATCATGGTTTTCAAAATTGAGATTTGAACTTATTTGTTTTCAAGTAATTATTTTGGGAAAATTTTGTTTTAACCAAGTAAGAAAGTGGGTGAAGAATGAATTTTGTGTGGATCAAGATAAGGCCAATATTTCCTTGTAGCTCGCACGGAAGTTGTGAAAATGTTCCTACTGACCAGTCGAGAGGAGTGGTGGCGGTTGATGCAAGACCGTCGGTATTAGACTATGCAAAGATGAAGAGTTTGGGTGGTAGGGACTTCAAGGGAGATGTGAGTCCAGATGCTGTAGTAGAGTGGTTGAGAGAGATGGAAGATGTGTTTGAGTATCTTTATGCGACCCCAGAGGAAAAAGTGCAATATGTTGTTTTTCTCCTAAAGGGGTACGCGAGGAGCTGGTGGTCCTCAGTCTCTAGAGTTAATGGTGAACGAGTTCAGTTCACCTGGGAGGAGTTCCTGAAGGCCTTTAAGACAGAGTTTCTTCCCGAAGCTTTTATCAGGGCAAAGAACAATGAATTCGCCAACCTTAAGCAGGAGAATATGACAGTTACTGAGTACACCATCAAGTTTGTTCGACTACTTTACTTTGAGGATGGGTTGGCGGATACTGAGCATAAGACGAAGATGAGATACTTGCATGGTCTGCGCATAGGATTGAAAGAAAAGATCCACAGGGTTGATGAAGAGAGCATGGCCACAATCAAGTAGGCAGCACTTAAGTATGAAGCCTATGAAGTTGAGAGCCGAGAGGAACACAAGGCCAAAGAAGAGGAGAAGAAGAGGAAGTTTGGAGTAAATTATGCTGGACCTCGTTACCCACCCAGGAGAGGTCCTAGCAGTTTTGGGAGAACACCGAGTCAATCTATGTCGGGAACATCCGCAGCCGCACAATTTCCGCAGCCGCACAATTTCCATTTTGTCAAGTTTGTCAGAAGAGGCATCTTGGAGAGTGTAGGAGATTTTCTGGTGTATGCTTTCACTGTGGCCAACCTGGGCACATCATGAGGGACTGTCCGCATTCGAGAGAAGTAAGAGCTACACAGTCCGAGCCTTCAGTGAAAATTAGTAGAGCCCCATTCAGGGGTGGTTACCAGGGAGGCCGTAGTGGATTTCAGAGTGGTTGTGGTAGTTCACAGGGTGGTAGAGGTGGTGGTCAAAATCAGCCATCAGGAAGTGGTACGCAGGGTACCAGAGCATAGGGAGCACCGAGGGTTTATGCAATGACTCGAGGTGAGGCAGAAGTGGCACCAGAAGTTGTGACTGGTATGCTTTCTATCCTTGGCAAGCAATTATATGCTTTGATCGATACTGGTTCCTCTCACTCATTCATGTCATATACGTTTGCACATATGCTACGCTTAGTTCCAGATAAGCTAGGTTATACCTTATGTGTTAAAACACCTGTGGGAGATACCTTGAAGGTAGACTCAGTTATTAGAAGTTCCTTCATTTGTGTGGAAGGAGCTTTCCTAGCAGCAGATTTAATTCTGCTACCTTTTGATGAATTTGATGTCATCCTTGGAATGGACTTTCTGGCAACACATGGAGCTGTTGTGGATTGTCAAAAGAAAGAAGTGTTATTTAACACACCAGATAAAGGTCCTGTTGTATTCCGAGGCATTAAGAAAAAGGAGACTCATGGTTTTCTTTCTGCCTTGGAAGCTTTTCGATTAGTGAAGGAAGGTTGTGAAGCCTTTCTTGCTCAAGTTACTGTAGTAAATGATAAGAAGGTTGAGGATGTAGAGGTGATAAGGGAGTTTCCTGATGTATTCCCCGATGAACTTCCCGGCCTTCTACCAGAAAGGGAAGTAGAGTTTGATATTGAATTGGTACCTGGCACAACACCAATTTCAATGGCACCATATAGAATGGCACCAATTGAGCTGAAGGAGTTTAAAGAACAATTGCAAGAATTGCTAGACAGGGTGTTTATTCGACCTAGCATCTCACGTTGGGGTGCACCGGTTTTGTTTGTCAAGAAGAAAGATGGCTCCATGAGAATGTGCATTGACTACCGGAGGTTGAATAAAGCAACAGTGAAGAATCGTTATCCCCTTCCAAGAATAGATGATTTGTTTGATCAATTGCAGGGTGCATCAGTCTTTTCTAAGATTGATTTGAGGTCTGGATACCATCAATTGAAAGTGGCAGATGGAGCAACTTCAAAGACAGCTTTTAGAACAAGATATGGGCATTATGAGTTCCTGGTAATGCCTTTTGGACTCACTAATGCACCAGCGGTATTTATGGCTCTTATGAACAGAGTGTTCCATGAATATCTTGATAAGTTTGTGATTGTGTTCATAGATGATATTCTCATCTATTCTAAAAGCGAGGAGGAGCACAAAACTCACCTTAGAATTGTGTTGCAAATTCTAAGGGAGAAACAATAATATGCAAAATTCTCAAAATGTGAGTTTTGGCTGAAGGACTTAATTTCTGGGAGAGGTGTCGAGGTGGATCCGAAAAAGGTGGAAGCAGTGGTGAGTTGGGCTCCACCAAAAGATGTGTCGGAGTTGAGAAGTTTTCATGGCATGGCAGGTTACTATCAGCGGTTCGTAGAAGGATTTTCTAAAATTGCTGCACCATTGACTAAATTGTTAAGGAAGAATACCAAGTATGTTTGGGATGAATCATGTCAAAAGAGTTTTGATGAACTGAAGAAGAAACTGACCACAGCACCAGTACTGGCTTTACCTTCAAACCATGGAGAGTTTGTGGTGTATACTGATGCCTCATATCAAGGACTGGGTTGTGTGTTAATGCAAGATGGAAGAGTTATCGCATATGCCTCTAGGCAATTGCGTCCTCATGAAGTAAATTATCTCACTCATGACTTAGAATTGGCAGCGGTGGTATTTGCTCTCAAGATTTGGCGACATTATTTGTATGGTGATACTTTTAAAATCCTAACTGATCACAAAAGCTTGAAGCATATTATGGATCAGAAGGATTTAAATAGTCGCCAGAGGAGATGGATAGAGTTGTTGAAAGATTATGATTGTACCATTGATTACCATCCAGGTAAAGCTAATGTAGTTGCTGATGCTTTGAGCAGAAAAGGCAAGAAGAATATAACGGATCTGGTTGATTTGAGGGCAATGAATGTTTATTTGGAAGTAGATGGTGTGACAGGGTTACTAGCTCAGTTGAATATTCGACCTTTGTTGCATGACAAAATTCGTGAGAAGCAGAAGGAGGACCCAGAGTTGACAAAAATCATTCAAGATATTGAGGAAGGAAAAGAAAGCCCATTTGAAATGGTAGATGGCATGTTGAAGATGAATGGAAGAGCATGTGTTCCTAATGTTGATAACTTGAGGAAAGAGATCCTAGATGAAGCTCATTCTTCTGCTTATGCTATGCACCCAGGAGCAACTAAAATGTATCACACGATCAAACTATATTTTTGGTGGCGTGGGATGAAAAAGGAAGCGGCTGAACATGTTTTCACATGTCTGGTATGTCAGAAAGTTAAGGCAGAACATCAAGCTCCTGTGGGAAAACTGCAACCACTTCCAATTCCAGAATGGAAGTGGGAAAGAATCACAATGGATTTTGTATATGGTCTCCCATCATCAAGGGGAAAAGATGCAGTATGGGTTATTGTGGACCGACTGACCAAATCGGCTCACTTTTTACCCATTAGATGGAAACCATCACTGGAGACCTTGTCTCAACTATATATTAAGGAGATCGTTAGATTGCATGGTGTGCCAATTTCTATTGTCTCTGATCGAGACCCGAGCTTCACATCTCGGTTTTGGCAAAGTTTACATGATGCCTTGGGAACTAAACTGCATTTTACTTCAGCTTATCATCCTCAAACAGATGGGCAGAGTGAACGAACCATCCTAACTTTGGAGGAATTACTTCGATCATGTGTAATGCAATGGGAGGAATCATGGATTGACCATTTGCCCTTGATTGAGTTTGCTTACAACAATCAGTACCATAGTAGTTTGGGTGTTCCACCATATGAAGCACTTTATGGGAGGAAATGCAGAACACCATTATGTTGGGATGTAGAAGGAGCAAGGCAAATCTCAGGGCCAGAGATAGTTCAGATCACAGTTGATAAGGTCAAGGAAATCAGGGAGCGTATGAGGGTGGCTCAAGATCGGCAGAAAGTTTATGTTGACACGAGTAGGCGTGAAGTTAATTTCGATGTGGGTGAGAAAGTATTTCTCAAAGTGTCACCATGGAAAGGGGTTATGAGATTTGGTAAGAAAGGAAAGCTTGCACCTCGATATATTGGGCCATATGAAATCACAGAGAAGATTGGACCAGTGGCTTATAAGTTAGCATTGCCTCCAGAACTATCCCAAATCCACAATGTATTTCATGTTAGTATGCTGAAGAGGTACAAAGTGGATCCTTCCCATGTTATACAACCAGAAGAGATCGAGTTGGGTTCAGATTTGACTTTTGAGGAGGTTCCAGTTGAGATTGTTGATTTTCAGATTAAGAATCTTCGTAGGAAGGAAATCCCAATGTTGAAAGTGGTTTGGAGAAATCAAGAAAGTGAGAGTGCTACCTAGGAGACTGAAGCAAGTATGCGAGAGAAGTACCCTGAGTTGGTAGCGACATACTTTGCAGGTTAACAATCTTGCTTAATAAGTTATGTTTTGAACTTGCTGATGTGCTTTTGTTGTGATAGCCCAGTATAGGTTTTTGAAATATAAACATGGGAACTTGAGGTGTTATGTGTTACTCTCTATGTTATGAATCGCCTAACCTAAGAGTTAGGTAATGACTTTATGTATGATAGACCATGTTAAGGGTAAGTAAGAGGAGTTAGAGTACGACTCAAGGTTAGATTTCGGGGTCGAAATCTTTTAAGGAGGGGAGAATTGTAACATCTCGTTCCGGCAAAACCCATATTTCGATCGCTAGAAAGTTCGCGATTTAAAATCGAGCATTTCGACACTATTTCGACGAAAATCGGATTATCAATCGATCGGATAAATATACGTATTAATTATATATATATATATATATATATATATATAATCTCTCCATTTAATTCCGCCGTCCATTACATTCCCATCCATTTTCTTCTTCTTCATTCTTTGCGGACCGAGAGTAAGCGGAGAGTAGAGCCGCACGCAGAGCTCCGGGGAAAATTTTCCATAGCTCAAAATCTTGAGCCCTACTGATCCAAAAATCCCGTAAGTAATGCCTAATTCATCTACTCATCGTCATTTATCGATTTAGAGCTTTAAAACGAGTTTTTGGTTCAGGAATTTCTTGAATTCCCGATAAGCCAAATTAGGGTTTTGGAGTATCCGGAAGCCGGATTGAGCCTAAATTTCATATACGAGCTTCCGGCAGCGAGGTAATCAATCCTCTAGTTCTAATCCCTGAATTTCGGCTATTATTTAGGCCGGGGTCCAAACCGCTGAATTTAGCTCCGGCCAGGATTTGATGTGTTTTTATCGAGAATTTGACCCGGAGCCTAGAACTAATATTGACGGGGATACTGCAGGGGATATTAGGATGGTCTCGGATTTTAATTCGGGGTTCGTTCGTGAAATTGACGTTTTAGTACGGGAAGGTTGAACCGGTGTTTGAACAACCATAACTGGTGAGGGATTAGCACGGCATACCGGGTTTCTCGTATCACGATAATTATATTGATGCTTAGAATTGATCTAGGTGAACTAGAATGGCATGATTAGGGGTGTATGAACTTTTGTGCTATATGTTGAACTCTGGATTGCTGTATGATATTATTGACTTGCCCTAATCGATATGAACCTTGTTTATGCTGATGATTGTGTATATGTTGCAAATTGTGGGCTTGACTGT